GCTCCCTACCTGGAAGCATTCAGGGCCAGGCTGGATGGGACTTTAAGCAACCTGGTTTAGAGGAAGATGTCCCTGCCTGTAGCAGGGGGTTGGAACTGGATGGTTTTAAAGGTCCCTTCCAACACAAACCATTCTGTGATTTGTCTTTCTGAGCTCGTGCCCTGAACAGCAGGCCTGGGTGATCTTCTGCCACTGCTCTTGAAATGCTTACTTTTGAAGGGTTACTGATAGCAGTGAACTTGGTGAGCTTACAGGCCTTTTCCAGCCTTAATTAGTCTGTGATTCTAGGTTAGGGGGAATTCATTTTTAATACAGCACTGCAGTCTTCTGAATGGGGGCCTGGAGTGGTTTGAGTGCTGAGATGTTCCCTGTGCTGATGGTGCTTGAGATGTCAGAGACAGGAGACTAAACCAGTTCTCCTAATGACTGGTTGGTTATGCTTTAACAGCTTACACAATTGCTAAAAGGTGTCCAGTGATACGGCAGCTATAGGCTTCAGGGTAAATGGTAAGATAAAACACCTAGGCAGCAATGTGTGGCTCTGTAAGGGAGAATGAGGTGCAGGTTGTTTAGACAAAATAAGCCAACATACCACAGAACCATGGAATCATTAAGGTTGGATAAGACCACTGAGATCTCCTAGTCTAGCTGTCAACCTATCAGCACAGTGTCCAGGCTGGAGTCAGCAAAGCCAAGGAGTGCCATCTGTGTCACATTCAGCTCCCAGAAGGGTTGGTGAGAGATGCTTACAGTTAAAATTAGTAGGAGTAGCCATGCTTTTTTGTTTTCCTGGTGCTTTTCCTGGAGCAGCCCAAAACAGGCATGTTAACCTTAGTATATGAATTTGTGTGGGTGCCTGTGAACAGTGTCCCATTAAGTAAAGTAGTGTAACTTCTTTCTGAGGAGATGCTGAGAATGCCTTCTTTGGTCTGCCAGCCAGGCCAAGCCAGGCTTGTTAGCAGCTTGTGACAACTCTGCTTTGCTTTGTAGGTATTTTAAGTGGTGGGGGTAGCAGAACTAGGAGGAGATGTGATAACGACTGTGCTTCTTTTTCTTTTTGGGGGAGAGGGGAGGGGAGGAGATGGGCCTAATTGCATACCTTCCTATTGCAGTTACTTCATTACTGAATTATCACCGGAGCAGCCCTGCAGTCTGTTCTGATAGCAGATAAGTGGTGTGGCTTGCAGCATTTCAATCTAAACAAAACTTAAGTGCTCTTTCCTTTTTCCCTGGAGTGGAACTGTAATTTAATTACATGAACGTTAGCCAGGGCAAAGTTTTCTTCAGCTGTCTGATGCTTCTCTGGGTTTTGTGTTTGCTAGAGGTGTGTCTGCAGTGGTATGTAGAAGAGGTACCCAAAAATTGTGTTCCTTGCCTGGAAGCTTCAGGTGAAGTTTCTCCTAGAGCTTTGTCAGGTGAGGATAGATAGTGCTTGTTATTTGTCCCAAAAGGTTTAGATAAAAACTAAATGCTAACTGGTTTGTATTTGCTTCCACAGAGATGCATTAATGAGTTTCTGTCTGCATTAGGTTCTGAATAGCCAAATTGAACAGCTGGAGTCAGCCTGTGCCACCAGTCTGCTGCCATAGAACAGGAGCCCTGCCGTGTGAGTGGGCTTGGGGAACAGCCTGTACCTGAACCACGTTGGTTCTGTTCCCCAGTGGAGGTAGAAGTGGCCCTCAGTGCAACCCATGTGATGTAAAAGAGAATTAGTGGGCAGGGCTTCAGGGAGGACTCCTTGTTTTCCTTTGAAACGGGATAAAAGTGCATTTGTGCATCGGTTGGAATCCTGATAAAATAGCTCCTTGGAACTGATGATTCAGAAAGATGGTGGTTCTGAAATTTGCTGCTTACAGCCATGAGACACCACAGAGAAATGCCTGGATCTTGGGTAGCATAGGACTGGTCAGTGCTTAAACTCTTGTCCGAGTGATGTTTTCTTTTTGGACTGCTGCAGAACTGTTTAATCTGATCTATTCCTATAGAGTCAGCTGAGTCTGAGCTGTGAACAGTTCTTTGTCTCTGACTTCGACTCGAATGGAAATGTAGTTTGTTTTTTAATTAAATTGAACTCAACTGTCACTGCCCCAAAGGGGGTCTGTTCTTGCAAGCTGTGCTTGGACTCGAGGCAGTGCTCTTGGCTCTGGCTGCTTCTTGCTGTAAGCATGGTAACTCAAGTCAGGGTGATGGGAGGATGGTAACGCACTAAGACAGATATTTGATGACGAGTGAAGTGTCTTGGGAAAGAAAATGTAATGTGCTTTTTTATGCTGATAGATTATTATATATTTTTTTTCTGAAGTTTGGGCTTGGTTGTGTTGGTTGTAACTTGGCTGCTGGGTTGGTCGTGTAGAATAACACTGTAGTGATCCAGCTGCAGCATTAAGCTCTTGGAATAGCTTAAGGTGAAGGGATGGTGGATTTCAAATAATTAAAGAGTGTGAGGCCCCTGGTCAGGTCTTGCATTGGTTGAGTGGCTTTCGGAGAGAAAAAGACCCACACGTGCTTTGCAAACTGCTGTGTACATAGTGCACTGGAGTGGATCCATGCTTTGATAAGAACAATATGGGTTTCTTAATGAGACGAACTGCATCACCTTTTTTTAAGGAGGCATTTATTTCTTTTTGTGAAAAAATGACATACTACTTTGGAAATCTGTAGCTGAACGCTGCTCTGCTCTTGCTTTTGTCCATGGATATTGCAGGGACAGGAGGCTGGCACGTTGGGTTGGGCATTATCTAAAGAAAAACAAGATTGAAGCCTGATATGTACTCTGGAAGCAGGACTACCTGACTCAGCTTGTTCTTGGCCACTGCTGCTTAAGAAAGCTGCTGGCCACGTGATCCTTATGCAAGTCCTGCTTCCCCAAATGGTCTGTCTGACTTGCCAGCACTGCACTTGGTATTTGGGAATTGCTGGGGTCTGTGCAAGTTGATAAGGCTCCTGTGCCTATTTGGGATGGTGAAGTTGTCCTTCCCCATGCTCAGTTTCTTGAAGCTTGTTGACCAACCTTCCGCTGGCAGTCATCCATCCTTGGATCTTCCCAGGCCTTTATTTACCATCAACCTGTTGATGGTTGAACTGTGCCCTTAGCATTTCCTTCCTTTTGTGTGTTTGCCTTGCAGGTGTGGTTGCTCTGCTAAGCAACCTGAAGCCATGTAGGATTGCTGCAGTCAGTGTGCAGACTGGGAAAAGGATGCTGAGTGGCTGCAGGTCTTTGCATTTTGGTGCTTGTCAGCTGGGGTGGATGCATGGGCCTACTAGTAAGCTTCAGCATCCATCACTGGGGTGTGATCTGTCTTGAATGTAGAAAGTAAACTGAAGGCAGATTATCTACTAGCAGAGAATTTATTGGGAAAAATTTAACGTGGATCTGGGATAGATAGAAATCATACATGTGAGCAGGTTTTTCTTGTTGCAGAAGCTGGGTTGATTTTTCAGGGCTGGATAGCATCAGTTCGGTATCTAGGAAGGAGAAAACACTACCTGACTTAAATCTAAATTCCCAGGTTGTTACTGAGAAAGACTTCTATCCTAAGTAACTTGCTCAGCCTATGTTATGTTGCAGGAGCTCAGTGGAGATGAAGCCCTACTGGCTTTATTTTGGTCTGAAATCCGCTTCGCTTCACGTTGCCACGAATCTCTGCTCCTGCAGTGCTTCAGCCTTGGATCTGGGTAACACACTGGGTGTCTGAGGGCTGAGGCTGGGGCAGGTCTGAGTGCTTTGGTGGCTGAGGTGGCATTGGCATGTGGCACTTGTCAGGGTGCATACTCCTGAATGACAGCAGCCTGTTCATCCCTTCATAATTTGTAATTTGTATTTAAAAGCGAAGGGATTTAAATGTTGTGTTTCTTTCTTGCAGTTGTGGTCCACAGCAGCAATTAGCTGTCGTGATGTTTGGCGCTGGTGGCTAATTGCGTAAGTTGACATTGCTAAAGAGAGCTGGGAGTTGAGCAGAGGTGTTTCTACATTCAGAAACCTGGTATAATTCAGGTCTGAATCAAGCTCAGACTCACGCTCAAACAGGTTGTGGAATTTATTTATACAACACCACTGGGGTGTGTGGCATTGCAGAGACAAATAAACGATGGCTCCCAGCCCTGAGGCTTGTGTTTAGTGTTAGATAACACAGTATGGGTTAATTATAGCCAGGGACATGGGTGGGGGGGGGGTTAGGAGCAGGTGAGGGTTACGCTGGTGCTGACTGCTGACGACACTGAGTGTTCCTTGTTGTGCCTACAGCTCTCTAATGGCACTGTGAAGAAAGTATGGGTGCGTCTGAGGTTATGGGAAGGATGGAGGTCAGCTCTGCAGGAGGAAGCGTTGAGTGAGTTACAGAAGTTGTGTGGATTAATAAGAAAAAAGCGGAAGGAGGTGAACTGAAACGAGTTGAGTGCACAGGGAGTGGCTGTGTTTACATGGAGACCTAGTATGCAGCAGCAATCAGACTGCAAGGTCGTGGGTTTGGCTGTTGAGGAGATGAGCTGCCAGACCCCTGAATGCCTTTTGCTCAGTGTGAATGGAGGAGCAGCTAAAGGAAGGGGTCTGGAGTTGCTGCTTCAAGCTTTGTAGTTCCTCTTTGAGGTCCCTGCTGTCCCTGCAGTCTGGAACCTGTGGTTCTGAAGCAGTTTTTCCCAGTGGGATTTACCCTGGTGGCAAGGCAGCTGCCTTTGATGGTAGTTGGACTCTCTTTGGGGTGTATTTGCTCAGTTGACACTGAGGACTCTCTCTAATTGGTGGTTTTCTGACTGTTCCTATATACCATTCGCAGTGGGGTGAATGAGTAGCGTTCCTGAACTGGCTTTTTGTGTTAAACTGGCAGATCTTTTTTGGTTTCAGGGGTTGGCTAGTCATTAACTTGTAACTAATTTCCTTTTTCCTTCCCTTTTGCTCTTCAGAAATGCGATTCTCGTGAATGTGCAAGGAAACCTACAGAACTGTAATGTCTAACACTACACGGAATAACAACTGTTTGAAGGTACCACCCTTTTTTAACTAATAAACTACTCTGTTATAGGTTGGGTTAATGATGGACTGATCTTTGGTTCACAGCCAAAGCTCAATGTGAAGATCCACATCTTATGTAATGCCTTCTTTTCCAAAATGGTGACGGTGGTGTGACACTGCACTCTTTTATTTCCAGAAAAGCTTTGTGTAAACTACCACCTGATCCGTGTGCTGAGGGGACCACCCCTGTTTCTCTGTGAAAGATCTCTCCAGGCAGGTCTGGTGTTGCTGTAGGAACAGATGGTAGCTTCTATTCAGAGAGCTGAACTTCCCTTGTCCTTCGTGGCCATCCCTGGAAACATATTGCCCTTCTTCAGTGATGCGTCATGGCTGGCCTGTTTGTCACGATGTTAATGACAGCCTGGGTCATCTTTCTTGACAAGAGGCTTCAAGCCCTATTTGGGAAGAATATTAAGATAAAGTGCAGTTGGACTGTAGCACTGAGATTGCAATGTCTCAGCTGTTTGTGCTGCATTAACCAGCACTCGGGCGTTGGCTTGATCTGCTGCCTGATCCTGCAGTGATGCCATAATACTGAATTTTGGACTGCCCTGTACATTTCCATGGCAACAGACTGATGTCACAGGCTCAAGGACATGACTTCAGTGTACGATCATGCGGAGGCACGATCAGATTTGTGAAGGTGAAAGCTGACTAATGCACATCTCAAAAGCCAGCAAGGGGAGTGCAGGTTACGGCTGACCAAGCAAGGTGTTTCAGTATGAAAATTCCCCTGTCAGGCAGAGGAGGATGTGATGATGTCTTTAAGGCAGGAACATTCGGCGCAATGAGCTTCTGTTTACAGGGGATAAGCAGACATCCAGCAGGTATCCTGTTTCTTTTCAGCAGGTGGTGTTCTGGGCTGGGGGAACTTGCTTGTTGGTTTCAGACCTTTGAAAGGTCAGTGTTTTGTTGTTGTTATTTTTCAGAGCTTCTCATTAGCATACTTGTTAGTGTACTGAGACCGCTTTTTCTTGCATAGTATACAAATAGCTTAATTGGTTTTCCAAAGCTTTTATTATATCCATGATATTGGAAGGTGGAAGGGGAATTCTGCATCTGCATTATGGTCACATTTTCCTATATCCTATTAGCAGATTCCAAGATTGTTTAATGTGATCTCCACCCATTTCATTTGGCCGCAACCTTTGCTCCCATGAAAACAAGGCTGATTGTTCTGAATTGCTGTGTGTATGTGCTTTGGCACGGCATGAAGGTACCTATAATAACACAACCATTGTCTAGAAAAAAAAAAAAAAACAGTTTGCAGTAATAACTACAAATAAAAGGGTGCAGTACTGGGGCAAAGACAGATAATGGTCGTTTTCCCACCCAGTCTGTGCAACAGCTTCTCAACATGGTCACCCCTCTGCGTGACACAGATGTGGGCTTCAGCCTGGTATGTGAATATTGGGAGTGAAGGACTGAAATATTTGCATGCTGTTCCAAGTTTCTCTTTCCTGGACACAGTTTCATTGCTCATATTTACGGACAGGGAGGCTGAATGACTTTTGCACAATGCGGTGTTTTATTTGCATGCTGTGAGCAGTTTAACAAGTGTATGTGCTAAATGAAGCATTTCCACTTTCAGTCATCAGCTGATGCACCCTTTAAAAAAAAAAAGGGGGGGGGAGAAGTGCCTTGAGGTTGAACAGTGGGGATTTAAGGGGTGACATTGTGCTGTGTGCAGCGGATGGCTGCTTGTGCCAAGCCTGAACATTGACTTGAATTGCTGTGGGATTTAGCAAGTGACCAGCTCAAACTCCTTCGTGCTGAAGTAATTTATACTCATCTCTACACTTCCTGGAATAAAAGCTGTTACAGGGCAAGATTTGGAAGGAACCTAATTGTTTTCAATGTTCAGTGTCACAGGGATTGAGGATGTTGAACAGAACCTGGCATTTCTTACAGCAGTTTGGTTGCCTCCCAGGACAGGAAGCTGTGGAGTGTTTAAAAGAAAGAGGCAGGGAAGGAGTTTAGCAACCCTCTCTCTAAATCAGAATGCTTGAATTTTGGTGCCTGGCCTCGAGCTGAAAGGGCTGGAAGCTCGGCAAGATTTAGTGTTCTGCATCGCTTGGCAATGAACAACAAGATAATGGTGATGGGCTATCAAGAAGGCAGCCCTGCTAAAAAGAGAGTCTTTGTGATACGGTCAAGGGGAAGGAAGTCTGGAGAACTTAGAAAAAGAACAGATGTTTTAGGAGGTGGGGGAAAAGCTTAACTATCCATGTAAGGGAGCCAACAGAATGAACTTGATACCAAACAAAAGTAGGCACACCCAGTGTTGAGCACAGGGATCCTGGAAAGCTGCTCTGCTCTGCGGCGACGCTTTGCTGTTTGACAGATGTTGGACAAGGACATCTCACAGAGGCAGAAGTGTGTAATATGAAGCACCTGGAGGGTTGTGTGAGGGGATGCATAAAGGTTGGGGGGTATTTGATGCTGCTCTTTAATATCCACACTGATTTTAAGAGGTATATAAATGGTAGTTGAAGCAGAACGTCAATCTCTGTGAGGGAACCGATGACAGAAGATGCATTAAACAAGAGGGAGAGGTCTCTTGTAGGGTGTGTTTATGGGCAGTGATGACTGGAAGTGTGATATAACAGACTGCTGATCCTGCGTGTCAGACTATGAGTGGCAGTGATTTTTTTTTCAGGTCACTGAAACTCAAGTCCAAACAAAAATATTTTACTCTTACTAATAGGTTAATCCACTGTAATTGGCTGTGGAATAAACCCATGGGAACTTCCCTGTCTGTACGTGATGCACAGCCCCTGCTGTCTGCTTGGCAGCTGCACCTTCAGATAATTAAAAGCTGTTTTTGAAATCTGCTGTTCTTGATTCTATTGGTGGTGTTTTTTTTTTCTTTGCATCTTGCAGTTCTCTGAGTGCCATCAGTCACTCTTCTGCCTAATCTATAAAAACCAAGGAAGTGTGGGATCAGGAGATGAAAACTGCAGATGGATCTCGTGCTTTGAAACCCAAACTAACCATCAGCTGTGAGGTTAGGTGAATGTGTGAGGTTTGATAGCACTCACCTTACGCTTCTGAAAATAATTCAACTTCCCCAGTCCAGTATGAAACATTTGAAGTTCACTCTTCCTTTATGAGATCTCACATCGTTTGCCCCTCTAAAATCAATAATCAAATTTCCACGGCTGCTTTCTCTGAGAAGCAGCTGTAATTACCCCCAAATTACAGGAGGTGCTCAGCACAGGGATCCTCTGGTTTCAGCACATATTTTCATTGCTCTGTAGTGTTTTGAGAGGCTGAAGGGTGGGATGCAGCTACAGTGACTTTCCAGATTCCTAACAGTGTGAGGGACTGTTTTTAATAGTGATGATAAAAACAGTTATTCCCAGTTGGAGGTTAGTCAGTGGTACAATTATCAGAGCTATGAAATAGTGCAGAGATGGCTCAGAATGGGGAAAAAAAAACAACCCACACCAACTCCAGCTTGTAGCTTATTTTCTTGAGGGAGCTTTTAGAAACTATTTCCTGCAGGCTCACAGAAAATTAGTGCGAGATGTTAAATGCTGAGAGATGCAGCTGATACAGCTTGATTATTACTTTGGTAATTTGGTTCTCAGGCTAGCAGAATGCAGCTGGCTTGCAGGGAAGGGTTTTGGTAGCAATGTGTTGACAAAAGGCACTGAGATGAGCAGGACCTCTGGAGCTGGCATGTTTAATTTGCAAGGTTATGTTCTTCAGTTGTGAGCACTGCAACAGCTGCTCTGCTGGGAAGCCTAAAAATGTGCTGAGTGGTTTCACAGCAAAATAACAGTCTCCCCAGCCTGAAATCTGGTGCAGTTAAATCACCCTTCTGCAGAAAAAAAACATTTTGGGGTACTCTGTTTTTGGCTTGATTTCCTGCTGATTTGTTTCCTTATTTTCATTTTCATTTCTAATGTTTTGTCCTAGAGGTGGAAACCTTGAAAAGACAGTGTTATTTTAGGAGGAAGTTTTTCAGCCAGAGTAAGGTGTATGTTTGGTGGCCCTGCTAGGCAGGGGGGTTGGAACTACATGATCCTTGAGGTCCCCTCCAACCCAGGTCATTCTGTGATTCTGTGATTCTGTGATCAGAGGGTGGTGAGGCACTGGAACAGGTTGCCCAAGGAGGCTGTGGATGCCCCATCCCTGCAGGCATTCAAGGCCAGGCTGGATGTGGCTCTGGGCAGCCTGGGCTGCTGGTTGGCGACCTGCACATAGCAGGGGGTTGGAACTGGATGAGCACTGTGGTCCTTTTCAACCATTCCATGGTACTATTGGTACTGGGGGGGAGCACTGAGCTATATAGGAGCGTGCTTATCCCTGTTCCTCTTGCTGATGAAGATACTTTCACATTAACAAGCCTTAAAGTGCAGGTGCAGATCGCTGGATGTTGAAGATGAGGGTGAGAAGTGAGAGATGTGCAGCACACCTCTTCACAGTTAATGAGGTAATTGAATGTGCACAACCTATACCAAAATGCAGATGTTATTTTTAGTTCTTTGTTTTCTTTCAAAAAAGAATTCATGGCAGAATTTGTGCTATGCTTAGAATTTCTAAAAATCTAATTGTGTTGCAAGGCGTATTGACTGCAGGGCTCTGAAGAATGGGGAAACTATTTTTTGCATCAAGGAACTCTGAGTTATTAATGGAAAAAGTCTTTAAAACATAACAAAGAAAATATCTGAAGATCCACAGGATTGGTAGGTTTCAGAATTAGCTTGGATATTTCAACAGCCTTTTGAAGCAGTCATCCAGAAACACTGTATTAATGCTGGTCTGTACTGCCATTTACTTGCCAAGAAAACAAGCTTATCCATAGCTGAGTTATTTCAGCAGAAGATGTTTCATGTATATTCTTCTTTTAAGAATTCGTTGAAAAACCCAACAAGCACATGCTTTGAGTTTTAGCACATGCTACTGCTATTCTGTCTTCATCTGTAGCCTTAACGTGTCATTGGTTGTGTGCCTGTGCTTTTGGGTTCTCCAAAGCTTTTCTGGTCTGCTTGACCAGGCTTTGTTTTGCACTCCCAAAGCAGTTGAGCAGTGAGAAATGTGCTTTGCACCCAGATGCTGCTCTCCAGAGCATCCACCTGAATTTCACTGCTTGTGGGTCTGGATAACCTGGGTGCATTGCTTCACAACTCCTGTTCAGGGCAAAGCCTATTGATGTGAGGGAATATTAAATTGTTCCTGGTTCAAATAGGTGTAAAGAGTGAGCAACAGAATGACAAATATTAAACTAATGCCTTTCCCTTTGCCTGTGCTCACCTTCACTCTGTCAGGAGGTACAGGCATTCATTCTCTGATCTTGGTGTTTTTCCCCCCTTCCTTTTGGTGTTTTTTGCCTGTTCTTCAGTATCTTCAGTATATTCTCCAGGAGGTGCCGCTTGTTAGGCAGTGCCCTGTATGGAGCCATCGTGGAGCTGGCTGTGTCCCACAGAAACCATCCCAGATGTCCTTCCCACCTTCATCTGGCATGAGCAATTAAGAAATGATAACAGTTTGGAGTTGTTTTCACTACAGGTTGGTGGGTTCTCAGGTTGCTGGCCAGCTGGCCCTTTCTGTGGAGCACAGTGAGGAGTTTTGGGCAATAGTGGCATGGGATTAACTGATAAAAACAGCCTCTGTTCAAAATCCAGGCTGTCTTCTCTCTGAGAGCTGTTACTTGGATGTAGATAAATGAATCAGTTCAGAGTTGGATGTGTTATGCCTTGTTGCTGCCCGAATTGGATAGCTGGCAAGTGTATAAGACCAGGCTGCTTTGGTGGAGTTAATGCTCTGAAAATGTTCAGAGTTTTAGGGTATGTTTTGTAGCATGTGGCTCGCTATACACCTGAAACAAGTTACGTATCAGAACAGCATTTTCTTTTCATTAAAGCATCTGTAGACCATGTCAGAACCTCATGTTAATGAGCAATTTATTTTTTTGGTTTGAAATCGCAACTTTTCCTTCCTGAGCTACTTTTTATTAAGCAAGATACCTCTGGAAAGGAGTGAATCCAATGCTTGTTGAGAGGGTGTAGGTGGTGGTGTGCTTCTTGTGGGTGGGTTGTTTCTAAATACTCTTAACAAATCTGTTCTGTCGAAAGTTTGCTGTCCTCAGTAGAACTAATGGTGCCTTGAGCTATGAAATGTTAGGTGCAAAAGAGTTTGAGCTTTCTATTGAGTGTCAGCTGCTCTGAAGTTGGGTATACTTAGTTTAACTGTTTTCCTGAGTCTGGAAAGCTGCTGACATGGAAACTTCACGTTTCATAGTTCAGCATTTTGTGTTATCCTGGCAAGATGAAAGATAGTTTTCTGTAAATGAAGTTTGGCCACCAGCAGGCTTACAGCAACAAATGAAAATTGGAAAGGATTTTAAGATTTCCTGTCAAATCATGTGGCACATAGGTGCAAATTTGTTGCAAAATAGAATGGCCTGGGTTGAAAAGGACCACAGTGATCATCAAGTTTCAACCCCCTGCTCTGTGCAGGGTCACCAATCACCAGACCAGGCTGCCCAGAGCCACATCCAGCCTGGGATACCCATATATGAAAACAGGGTGGATTCAGGAATATATTACAAAAAATGGGCATTTTCAAATACAGAAATAATGCACAGAAATGTCACAGTTACTTATAAAACACTTTTCTGTGAGCACTGTCATCTTTTACCTACTGTTTCCCTTGCTCTAGCAGGGTTTCCAGTTGCTGAGTGTAGTTTTGGAGCCAATGAGAAAAATTGGGATGCTTTTGGAATGCATAGTGAATACTGTAAGTTGACAGCTCTCCAGTGAGTTGGCTGAATGAATCCACTGTTATTTTTTTTTTTTAAGACTGGATTTTGCTGGGAAAGATACAGGACAGAGAAATCTGCTGCATAGCCCTTTGATTAAGGGGAGTGATTCTGCAAAAAGGAACAGAAATCAGTTGCAGCTTGCCTTGCTGAGCTGTTGGGGCTGGACCTGTGCTCACAGCATTTGGGGCAGTCTGCATCAAAGCACAGCTGTCATCCCAAAGGCTTGTCCAAGCCAGAAGGAGCCATATTCAGCAAACATCAAAGCTGATAAATACAGTGATTAATACCAGGTCACCTGCTGTGGCGTTCTCTTTATTAACAAAGCTTGCAAGAAGGAACTGTATTTGCCTATCCAGTAGCTATAGAAGCCATTTAATACCCCATTTAGTACTGTGCATTGTGTAATATGTTGTGGGGAGACTTTATCTTAGAGTGTCAAATGGAGGATTTGTTTCCTGATGCCATTTCAGTATGTGCCAATAAAAAAGCCAGTCTTATGCTGGAATACAAAGATTCAAAGTTACATTTGTAGTCAGAGGAGTATTGCAAAGTAGTTTATTCTCATTGTATTTTAAGTGCTGCCACAAAACAGACAAAGGAGACTGAAAATTAAGAATTAGAGTGGGTTATGCTGTCCTGTTGGATCGCTAACAAACCATTGCTGGCTAACTAGTGCATAATTACTGTCAGCCAGGCCATGTGATGGGCTATTTATTAGCTGTTGCAGCAAAAACACATCTACCAAATGTGTGCCAAAATGAGTCAAGTGAACCTCTCTAGCCAGGGTCCCTAATGTCCAAAAAGCAAAACAGAGTGATGAAATTGCTGTTGACAATCTTAATCTGCAACATCACTGTTCTAATAATCATGATCTTCTTTAGCAAACTAACATTGTGTTCTTGAGGAAAGATAGGATTCTGCTTTCTGGCTTTATCTGTCTGTCTCTAAAGTGGGACAGGTTGCTCCCTATTGGTATTCAAGTTGATCTCTTTCATCTAGACTGTCTAGATTTCTCTCTGGTGTTTGTCCTAAAACTCCCAATTTAATGTCATTTCTGCATCTTTCAGACGTTTCCAGCATCCTCTGCATGTAGAGGAGCAATTGAGTGAGGCTTCAGCCTCATAAAACCAGGGCACGACGTCTCCAGAGCTCTTGGAGTGCTTGCCTACTATTTTTGGAACTAGCTCTATTGCTTCTATAATAGGAAGGCTTCTGGAAGCTTTCTCCTTCCCCTCGCCTCAAGAAAGTAGCCATTCAGCTGAGCTTTCATTAATTCACAATCTGCATGGCAAAACAAATCTAGTTTTATATGCTAAATAATTCAGCTGTGGTTCATGGATCACGTGGCCCTAAATGCATTGCAGTGTCTTTACCCATACCTAGTAACCCAAGAGCACAGCAGCTGTAGCAACAGGGCTCAGCTACCCTCTGCTTATCATTCGGGACACAGCATGGATTATGCAGTGACAGTGAGTGCCAAAGGAGGTGGTTGCTTTCTAGAGAGTGAAGTAATGTGTGATCTGTGGGTTTGTCATCAGCACTGCAGCAGAATTAGCAAATAATGGATTTATACTGGTTTTTGTTTTTCTCTTAGGTCAAGCAGAACAAATCCAGTGAGCCAGTTCTTCTTCCCAGTTGAGCAACAGATAATATCCCTAACCAAATTGTGCGAGACAGCTGAAGCCTTTCAGGAATAGTTGAACAAGTGAAACACTTTGTGATCATTTCCAGTACAAAAATGGAGCATCAGCAAGGTGCAACAGAGCTTGTTTTCTTCTTCCCTTTTGAGATTTTCCCTTTTGAGGGGAAAGGGGATAGCTAGATCATTCCAACACTAACCACACCTGCAGAGGGAAAAACACCAGAGCTATAAATTTGAAAACCTTTCATTCTTTATTGACGTGATCTTGGAAAGGGAGACAGGCTCTCCATGTAGTGCTACATTAGAATGAGGACTTGATAATGCAGCAGGTATAGAATCATTAGCACTGGAAAACACCACCATCGGTTAGTCCAGCTGCCAGTCTTTCACCACCGTGCCCCACTAAGCTGTCCCTCAGTGCCACATCTCCACGTTTCATCTCTAGGGATGATGACTTCAAATTTTGATGTTTGACAGCAGTGAGCAATCCAGCTTCAGAGCTTTGGAACTCATGTGGTTGTTCCCCTCTTACAAGTAAAACACTACATGTTATGTGTGTGTTCAAAAGTTTATTTCCATTGACTGGAAGGAACATAAAAACCCCTTTGAGGGCAGGCACCCTTTCACTGTATGCTTCAAGGTGTGGCTTTAGAAAGAAGCTATGATTAAAGAAGAGTTAGAAGTACATACATGTTGAATCCAGTGTGCAGAATCCCAGATCCTCGCTGTGTTGGATGAAAAAGCAGAAACATTGGGATGCAGGGGCTGTCGCTGATTGTTTGGTATGGACCAAACAAAGCTCTGTATTATAAGGCCTCACCAATGGTTAAGTCCCTTCTAATGACTATATCTGTGTTAACTCTTCTGAGTTTCCTTTGAAAGACTTGCCTTTGCTTCCTTCTGCCTCCTGAGCGTGCTGGTTGCTGCCCAGCTGAGCCGGTGCCATGGTGCTGTGTGGCTGGAGAGCATCCCAGAGCCAGTCCCTGTCTGGAGGTGGGCTGCTCAGGCTGGCAGAGACTGTTCTGCTCTTAGCAACGGCGGGGATTCTGCTCAGAGCCAGTCCCTGTGCCACTGCCTCCTTCCTAGAAAGCAAATTTTCTCAAGGAGCGAGCCCATCCTTTGGAATACTTCATCAGTTGCTGCTGCTGCTGAAAACACACTGTACCTGCAGTAAAGCTTTAACTGCTGCAATGCCTGTAAATAGCAAAAGCTGTGGTGTATTGCTGCACAGATGATTTCCCCCTTATTCCATGCTATTTAATACTGCAGGAGCAGTTCAGAAATGATGGTGAGATAGGGAGTTTGGTGAGACCATTCAGCAATCTGCTGTCCGCTGCTGAGAGTGTGATGCTTCCTGCTGCCAAAATCTGAGTCCTTCCCACATCTGATGCATACAGGCATATGTTTGGGGGCGGTTTCAGGAAAGGAGAGCAAGAAGATTAGTTTCTTATTTTCCTCTTTCTGTTCTGTTTCTCTGTGCATCTGTATTTCGATTTTCAGGCTGTACTCAACTCTGCAAAACTAAGCAAAGAAGGGAAGCACCTCCTGATAAGGATCAGCCTCTGTTAAGAAATGCTATGGTAGCTAAGAGGCAGTAAGTATCTCCGTGCTGGCTTGGTTGCTGATTATTTTTCCTTTTTTTTTTTTTTTTAATTCACAAGCACAGCTTTTTAGTACTCACACAGTGGGAATTTGTCAGTAGATTGCTGCCATTAATAGTCTATTTCAGCTCTTTTCTATAGACCAGTAGCTAAAGAAGGGAAAAAAGCATGCTTTGTATGGAGCTGTGTTTTCATCTGTGCTGCACTGTGAACTTGTATGGATTTTGTCAGCTTTTGCCTTCCTCTAGAAGGTGCTAGGCCTTTCTCTAAATGCATGGCATCCCATGATACGATATCTGTGCTTGGATTGGGGTTGTGCCTAGCCCAACTGGAGTGAATTTGCATGATGTTTTTGCTTTTTAGGCTCTGCTATAAATGAGAATTTTTCCTTAAGTATATAGCTCTCTTTTTTTTTTAATCACTTCTCAATTTCTCTTTTTTCATTTTAATTTACAAAGCAGTAGGACTGGAACAAAACACTCGGTGCTCTCAACCAGAGGTACATCAAGAGAGTTTAAGCTAGTGAAAAAGTGACTGGCATTCTTAAAACTGTATGTTTGCATTTATTTGGGTGTGGATATAATAATGTTTCTGTGATACAGTTCCTGCTGAGTCTGAAATGCTGGTGTCAGTAAAGCCAGAAGGCGAAGCCAGACAAAAGCTTGGATAGAAGTCAGAATTTCAATGCCTCTTACTGGTGGTTCCTGGGAAAGGAATGATTTTGTTTAACTTCTGATTTTCATAAACCAGTTGGGCATATGTTTATAGAAATATATTTTCTAAAAACATCCTAAATGTCTGATTTTCTTTTTCTTTTTGGTGCTCAGATTTCACTCGTGCAGGTAGGTCCTTGTTACAGGCTCTGGGTAGTTTAATGAGGATGCTGTTTAAATACGCAGCGGTGATTTGTGCAGCTGTTAACCATGTCTTCTATCTGCTGGTCTTTCTGATCTCATGGAGCAGAGGATACACTCTCACCCTCCAGCTCTGCCTGTGCAATGCCTCAGTCTTCTCAGTTCAGTATGTTTCTTTGCATTGTGTAGAGCTCAGCAGAGACTTCTTTGTGAAGGACTGGAATGTATTTGTATAATATTTTATGTATTATTTTAGGCTCCTGCTTACTCAAACATGGCTGAATGATTAACCTCTCATTCCCCATCACTGGAGGAATCGTGAAATTCCTTTAACACATAAGTCCAGCTGGATGTAAACCAACTTCTCTCTCTCTCTCTCAGCTGAGAAAGTCATCCTTAACCACTTTCTCTGAGCGTGGCTGCAAAGTTGGAGAGGGCTTCCCAGGCCAGCTGCATATTCAGTGTTAGCATTGGGTTGTAAACCACATTTGTTGGGTGCCAGTTAAGTGAGCTGTGCAAAGGTGGGTGCTGTTCTGAAGTCCCCAGGTGTTGTAGAATCATCATAGAATCACAGAATGGTTTGGGTTGGAAGGGATCTTTAAGACCATCCAGTTCCAACCCCCTGCTATAGGCAGGGACACCTCCCTCTGGGGCAGGTTGCTCACAGCCCCATCCAGCCTGGCCTTGAACATCTCCAGGGAGGGGGCATTCAGAACCTCACTAGGCAGAAGGTGATGGGAGAGGCTCTCATCTTGGAGCTGAAAAGAGAACAACGTGCACTGAATCCCAGATACTGTGAGGCCACAGCTTTGTCATTAGTGTTCTACGTTACGGCATTGTTGTGCGTAGTCCTTCAGAGAGGAGGAAGCAAGCAATCACTAAAGCAGTCTACCAGCAACTCAGGCTTGAATATTCAAGCTTTTCCAGGGCACCTTAACTGCGTCACATATTTCATGTTCTAATTTGATGGTGGTTGTTCTTCCACTGTCAAAGTGTGCTGCAGCACCGCTGCTGGTGTTAGCTCCAAGGACAAGGCGTAGAAGGCAAGTGAGATACAGAACAGCTTTGTTTTGGTGAAATCTGCTGGCTTATCTGTGTGTGATGCAAAGACAGGGCAGTTTTCAGAAGGTTTGGAGCTTTGTGGTGGCATGTTTATTTTGTTCTCTACGAAGGGGGCATGTTACTTTGATTAGAAAGCTAACGTAACTCGTCTGGCAGCATCAGATCTTACTGCTGGCTTGATGCTGTGCTAACAGGAAGAAAGGTCTTGCGTGTCTGGTTTGCATGGAGCTTGGAGGACGACGTGTCCCATGGGAGGTACCCAGGTAGGGCTGTAGCTACATAATATAAGCACAGCAGCATACGTGATGTTGGGGGCGTTCATTTCTGTTTTAACTGTGTTCAGAAACTCCAGCTGCAATAACGGCATGATGTTGTATAAGTTCTTTTTATATTTATAAGTTCTTTTTATATTTATGTATGTGGACATGTCTGTATAGTGTTTTGTGTTTGTGTATACATAGAATATGTACCATGTGTAGTGGTATATTTATATGTATGTATATTTTCTATCCCTCTTCACCCTGTTTTGGGAAGGGATCCTTGTCCTGATAGCCTGTGCCCTGCTGTACTCCGACATGATGCTACTTTTCTCATGTTTGTTCAGTTTCTAGGTGGGAGAGACACTGTGAAGCTCTGTGCAGGGCGAGGAGAGCTGAGGAGGGAGCCTTGCATGTGAACCAGGATGGACTGGCTGTGACAGCGTGCCTTAGCTGGAGGGGGAGTTACGATGAAGAGTTCCTGCAGAGCTGGCCTCCACAGGGAACCACTGAATTCTGCATCTTCTACCTTCCATCAAGTCAAACGGTACGAGCAGACCAGCTGGCCTGCCTTTAGCTAAACATTTAGCACCCGTTTGGCCTTCTCCTTGCTTTCTTATTGTCTTGTGTGTCACTTACTTTCCAATAGCCTTTAACTGAAATATAATGGCTTGAGGGCAGAAATGTTTTTTGACACTGTTGTTTGATAATGACAACTACAGATGGTACTGTACTTGGAGAAACCTTTGATTATTATAATTTTTTTTAGTAACAGCTGTAAATTAATTTGGGAATATAGCTTTGAAGTATATTGAAGAGTAGCTTGTTACAGTAGGCTTTAAAATATGCAGTCAGCTTACAGCAAGTGGAAATGCTGGCAATCATTGTTGTGGTTTGTCTTGCTATGGAGTAAGTAACTGGATTGACTTAATCTGAAGTTTTGTATTGCCCCTTCTCCTGTGTCTTTTCCTAAGAAGAAATGCACGACTGGTTTCAAACACTTGTGCTTATGTGACAATGAAGTGAACGCCTCTCACTGTGTCTTGTTATAGGAACTCCGTACAGAACAACTTGTGCTTATGCAAATGAAAGAACATGCCAGTTTGAACAAAAAAAAATACATATCTCTTTTGAAACCAAGACTCTTAAACTTCCTCAAACTGAAGGAAGAGAGGCAGCTTTCTCATTTCCAAAATTCATGTGGGTTTAAAGTAAACTTCAACCTTTGTTCCTTGTGGTTATGTAGGCAACACATGCTTGCTATGTTAGTCTCATAGTAATTTAGGGCTGGAAAGGACTCCCTTGGTTGCCCAGCTCCTTGCTTTCTCAAGGAGTATCTCATAATCCTTTGGGTAAACTTGTAATTGTTTTTAGGCTGGACTTCTGTCTTTTCTTCTCCCATAGATTAAACCATTACTGAAGATGACAGCTCTAACTGTGCAGTTAGGAACGTTTCGATCCTCGGAACGAATGTTCATGCCAGCTTATATGTTATTTTGAGCTGGTGGTGGTAAATATTTTGCATAAGAACCACCTCTCGTTTTCAATATTATCTTTTTTGCTGTGTTCTGTAAACTGCAGCTGTATCCCCTCACCTATGTTTTGCTGTGCCCAGTGGCCCCCGTGCTTTCTTGTAGCTTACTGAACACTGACTGTTCTTAGTCTGGGTAAATCTCCTCTGAGCCATGACAATAACTGTGTGCTGACTTCCAAAGGAGACCATATAGGAGAGCTTTTCAGTATCACAGATCTGCCTTCATTTGCCTCTGTGTCATGGATGTGTCTATTTGTAGCACCTTTTTCAGTGAAAACTGTGCTTCTTGGTGTTCAGCCTTCTGCTGTATCACCATCTGTACTTCAGAATTCTGCCCTGTTTCTGTTAACCAAGTGCTTTGTGCTTCTTCCGTGTTGGCACTGCCTTTCATTTCTGTAGCTTTGTTGCTGAGGTCATTTGTAACAAAAACAAATTGTTTTCCAGGCTGATTCTTGAGGAGTGTCTTTGGTTTTGAGGCTGGTGTTTTATTGTTCATCACCTGGGGCTCTCTGCTGCTAAGACAGCTTCTTTGTGCCTTTCAACAATTCTTTGTCAATCTGTCTTGCCCAGTAGATCTCTGCATGCCTCCTGAGGACCATATGAATAAACCACATTAGAGTGTTTTTCAAGAAAGCTCTTCTTTTGAAAACCTTCAGATTTGTCTGATATATTGTATTATTTCTTTTCCCCGTTTCCCCATGTCTTTGTAATCCTCTTTTCTTTCAAAGCACTGTTTTACACCAAAGTAAGACCAGCAGGCCTGGAGATGCCATGATCTTTCTCCAATGCAGCACTGCATTCCAGGCGATATTGACGTGAAGACATGAAACCTATGTCTACTTCTGGTATCCTTCCTGAAGAAGAAACGTGTTCAGTTGGAGTTTTTCTTATTTGGGATGTGTTCATTATAATGAGAACACCTTCTGACTCCTGGAAGAATGCCTCTTGGGTTGCTCTGTCTGCAGTGAAATCCTCTATATCACAGTGTGGCCACCTTCATGAACTGGATCTTTAGGCTTGAGTTTCAAAGAACAAACTGGTGGCTTTCCTTCTGCTTTTGCTTATCCTTCCATTTGAGCTCCCGAGTTTCTTAATGGTAGTGCAGTCCAAGGTTAATTCCTACAGCCTTTCACGTGTGCACATTTCATATGTGTAAAAGTGAAGTCTGAATAGCATCACTGCTGCTTTAACTACTTGATGAAACTTCTTACCCCATTGTATTAAAAATGACCTTGGTCCGGTTGCAATTAATAAAAGAGGGAATGAACGTTGTGGAAAGATAATGTTTCCAAAAGGAAACATCAGTGTTTCTGTAAAGTTAGGGTATGTCTGTCTGGGATGTTTACTCTGCCATCATCTTTGTGCTGAATGCTTTTGGAGCAGCTGATGACTCTGAATTCCAGCTCTTTCAGTTGTTGTTTTCCCTCTTTCTGTCATCCCTGTGTCATCTGTGGCGTGATTAGAAAGTAGGGAACGGAGATCTGAGCTTCCTGAAGCTTCAATGAATAATTGATTGTATGTCAACTGGTAAGTGCTTTTATGCAAAGGCTGTTCCCAGAGTAATGCATCCTGTTTTTCTTCTGTTGGCCCACAACGTTGCAGGTGGAAACTGATGGTATGGCAGTAGAGGTTGAACCTTTCCACCAGTATTCTGTTAAATTTTGTTGGCAGATGGGCAGTGGAGGGGCAGCCTGATGAAATGGCATCTGACACAGAAGTGCGTGTGAAGCAAAGGTGTGTCATTGAATTCCTTCATGCAGAAATAATGGCACTCACTGACAGTCATCAGTGAATGTTTATGGAGTCATAAAGAACCACAATGATCATCTAGTTCCAGCCCCCCTGCTATGTGCAGGGTCATCAACCAGCAGACCCAGAGCCACATCCAACCTGGCCTTGAATGCCTCCAGGGATGGGGCACCCACAACCAAACTATTTGGAGACCAAACAGTGGATGTAGCAAAAGTGACAGCGGGTCACCTCTGCTGGTGCTGGATCATCGTTGGCAAACCTACAGAGCTTATGGTGGTGACTGCATTGAAAAATAGTGTTTTGTAGCTGAGAATTTGCTCTATCACATAGTGTTATTGTGTCCTTTGTATCTCTTGGAGTTTCCATGGAAATAAATAGGAGGCAGTACATTCAGAGCAACCTACATCCAAAACACTGGCAAGTCTTGTGAAAAAAGACCTGTTTAGCTGCATGGTCTGTGATACTCCTTGCTTGTTCTGTGTCCCCATCCCTGCAGGCATTCAAGGCCAGGCTGGATGTGGCTCTGGGCAGCCTGGGCTGCTGGTTGGCGACCCTGCACATAGCAGGGGGTTGGAACTTGATGATCACTGTGGTCCTTTTCAACCCAGGCCTTTCTGTGTTGCAGGAGGCAGTTGGGCAGGCACAAAGAGATCAGTTGCTTCAGTCTGAAGGTAGTGCTGCAAGGGAGTTGTTTTTTTTTTTTTCTAGAAACCAGATGCCCCCACAGCTGCTGCAGTCCCACCAGCCCCTGCTTTGGAGCACTGTGCTTCCCAACCCACCTCTCTCCAGGTTTGGATGCTTGCCATGCACCAGAACAAGCTTCAGCGAGTAGCAGAGTATTGTCCACCCTTGCTGTTAGCTGGGACTTTCCCACCCTGGCAGGATCTACAGAATGCCTTTGAAGCAGCTTTCTGTCTGCTCTGCCTGCCCCTGTAGTGCAGAGGGGATGGAAGTGGTACTGGAGATTGAACCCACCGAGCACTTCCAGAAATAACAAGTGGTTGACCATGGTTGAACTGACATACAGTGCTCAGTCCTTGGTAATTGTCAGTGTTCTTTGCAGAGGAGCAAAGTTTCCCATAAGAGAGATGGGATGCCAGGGAAGAGATGTGCCCTGCCAGAGGTTGGTGTGGCTTTTCGTTGCTGCTGCCTTTTTTTTTTCTGGTTAGTGCCTTGTGTTTGTGTGCCCTGAGGGGTTTTTCAGAGTTGCAGTTGGTGCTGCACATGCAGTCAGCAGTGCTAGGAAATCTTGTCTACTGGAGTGAGTGCTTACAGAAGGAAATCCACAGGGAACTTTTGGGGTTTTCATTGAAATATTCTCCTTAATAAAACCTTCTGGTGCTTTGCCCAGAAAACATATAGTGTGAATGTGCTGTTTGAGAGCATTGTTGGTTTGCTGGTTTGTTGGTTTGTTGGTTTTGCTGGCCAGAAGAAATCTTTGTGCTTCACAGGGCGTTTTGGGAGTCCTGACTGACGTGCAGGATAGGATGTGTAGGCTCTCTGTTTACCCTAGGAAGAACTTTGGGTTGGTGCTGGGTCTTGTCGAACAAAGAATCATAGAATAGTTAGGGTTGAAAGGAACCTTTAAAATCATCTAGAACTTCTTTATGGTGAGAGTGGTGGAGTGCTGGAACAAACTGCCTGGAGAGCTGGTGGAGTCTCTTTCTATGGAGATAGCCAAGAGCTGGCTGGACACCGAGCTGTGTGACCTATTGTAGGGTGCCTGATGTAGTAGAGAGGTTAGACTTGGTCCAACCCAGGTCCCTCCCAACCCCTGCAATTCTGTGAGTTGTGAAAGTGGAGCCTCTTGTACCAATTTTTTTCTCTGGTTTCTACTAAAGGAAATACTTTGGTTTTTAGGCCGCTGTGATTTAGAAGATGTATAAATGCAGAAAGATTCTGGTCAGCTTGGTGCAGTAGCTAATGGATCTTCCCTTCCACACAGAGAGGGGAGGTGTGTGCATGTATGAAGGCTTGCATTTATGCATCAGTCCAGCATAGGAGCCAACTGTAGTGACAACGAGCTGTACTGAAATTTGTAAAAACAGCAGTGTCATTCCAGAACTGTAAGTATCCTGTTTTTATGTGCCTAAGACATGGCTGATTAGAAATTAAAACAAAAAACAACCTGGTCCTCTCACTTCATTGGCTTAGGGCTGGAATAACAGCGTAAAGGCAGCACTGCCAGTTGTTTCAGTGCTGATGGTTCTTGGCAGAATTATCTCTTATCAGCATTTCAAAACCACACGTTTGGGATTGAGAACCTTTTATGCTTATTCCATGAAGTTCTGAAGAGTCATTGGCTCTAAAGACAGAACGAGAAAGCTTGATAGCTTACAGAGTAGGGGAAAACAAACAGAATCATTCTCAAGTATGATAGGGAATTGTCAGTGACTTCACCTTGTAACGATTATTTTTGGTGGTTTTTAACGTTTAAAAACTTAACTTGCAGCTGCCACAGTTCTCTGCTTGCCAGCACTGGAGTGTTGCAGAAATAGGGTGGGCTTGGGGGGAGAGGATTGGGCCCTAGTTTGTGTTCAGAGCATTTTCTGCTGGAACTCCTTGCTCTGATTCTTGGAGTTAGGAATGAAACGTGCTGCTGATGCATGGGGAAGATGTTCTTCTTGTTTAAGAAGGATGAATTTTGAATGTTCATGGTGAAGCCTGTAAGTGGTGGGGGTGAGGATTTGCTTCTTTCTTAGCAACGCTTTCAGGTAAGATCTGCTACTAAAAGCTCTTCCTCACCGCCTGAAAACTTGAAGGGAAGTGGCAGTGCCATTCAGATGGAGTTAGCATTCGTTTTGGAGCTGTCTGAAGCTATTAAAGGAAGGTTTTCTTTAAATCTGAATCCATTAAAACAGTGCAATGAACTGAATGCTGAATTCAAATGAGGCAATTATTCTGGCAGTAAAACTTCTGACTAAGGCATAATTTTGTTATGTAAATTGTAACTTTTCAACCTTAAATGGTATTGTTGGCCTAGCTGGAGACCAACTGAAACACAGGAGGAAATATAACCTTAAATGAGAAATCTGTAGTAGGTGAGGCATAACTTTATCCTTTGTCTTTCTCCATAGACCTGAAATAGCCGTGAGCAGCTGAACCAACTTTGCTGGCTAAACGTGTCCTCCGAGCCTGCTGGGTAACCAGTTTAGTCCTGTTCTCATTCATGTAATATCTGAGTTCACCTTCATTTACAGTTTTCCCTTAATGAAGGGTGTTGAAGTGATTTGTCCTGCTGGATTCCTGAAAATGGTTCGAAGAAAGCCTTTTTAGCACATAATTCAGCTCATCTTTCAAACAGCCTGGCATAAAAACTCAGGAACGAAATCTGATCTTTTGTTCCTGGCTCCTGGGATTTCAAGGTGGAAAGCTGTATATTGCATTGCCTTCACCTTTTCTTCCCCCAGGGTACTGCTGTGAGCAGCTACCACAGCTTTTCTCCTGAAAGCACCTCCAAAATGCCCTTCTGAGTGGGGAAGGGAAGACTGCAGGCATGCTTCTCTGCTGCCTTTCACCTGCATCTTGATTCTGGCCTGGACACTGACCCAGGTGTGTTGGTGGCCTGGCTCTGAGCAGCTACGAATTGTGGGAAAGGAGGCTCGAGCAAACTTGCAGCAGCCTTGATTTCCCATCCTCTCTTACTCCTCTATTTCATCACCCTGAAGTTCTATTTTTATGAGATTATTTTAGTCATTAGCATCCAACTGAGAAGAGAAACAAAATAGCTCAGTTGCATTCTGCAGAGGAAAGTGAACTGGGAGGTGACCCAATTCCAGCAAGAGCTGGAATTAGCACAGAAGGCATGGGGAGAGAATTAACCCAGCAACTGGGTGGGTGTATGTGAATAAGTGGGAGCTCTCTTCTCCCCACAGTCTGTTGCTGAAGGGAAGATGACATTAGCACTGGTTGCAAGGGTGACGTGATGTAAAATTGAAAGGGAAGAAATGCTCTTTCCTGAGCACGTTATGCTCTTTTCCTGGGTTCCTAGTAATAGGGAATGACCTCAAGGTGCACTAGGGGAGGTTCAGGTTGGATATTAGGGAACATTTCTTCTCAGGAACAGCAGTGCTGCATTGGCACAGCTGCCCACGGAGTGGTGGGGTCACCATCCCTGGGGGTGTTTCAGAGCCATGGAGATGCAGCACTGAAGGATGTGGGCATGGTGAGGTGAGGTTGGGTTGGGGATTTTGGAGGGCTTTTCCAACTTGTGATCCAGTGATTCTGTGATTCAGCAGCTGTTGAGTGACTGCACTGGCTGATGCATGGGGCTGTGTGGGAGCTTTGAATTAAAAGTTGTTTTTAGGACTAGAAATGCAATACCAAAAAGTATTTTGGTGGTGGCTGCAAGGGGAAATTGTTTGGCGTCTGCACCAGCTGTTGATGGCATTGAATGTGCTGTTTTTAAACTAGCAGTCATGGATTATCTTCATTTCAAAAAGTTCTGCATTTAATGTAACAACTCAGAGATTGCTATGGAAACATAATCTGTAGTTAGTTCAGCAGTGTGCTTATATGTTCACCCTGGAGAAAGAGCCTGAAGTCACCTGATGATTGAATCCTATGTGGCAGTGCCCTGGGCTTCTGTGGTTTTGATCTTTGTGTTGGATATTATGGTGAAGATGCAACAGAAAGGATGAATTGAGTGTGTAGGGCCATTGCCTGAGTGCTGCTTTAGGGCAGTAGTGTCCAAGTGTCACAGCTCTTAAATCTTAACCATAAAAATGCTTATTTGGATGTGGTTTTCTCCAGCCAGAATTGGTGCTTCTGTCACTTTTTGGTTTGGCATCTGATGTACAGCACAAGGGGGGGGCGTACCAAATCTGCCAGTGTTGATATCCTCAAGGACAATAGGGATCACTGGGTAGATTTAGGCTAGATATTAGGAAGAAATTCTTTTATTGTGAGGGTGGTGATGCACTGGAACTGGTGATACACTGATTGCCCAGTGAGGTTACGGATGCTCCTCCTTGGAGGCATTCAAGACCAGGAAGGACGGGGCTCTGAGCAACCTGTTTTAAAAGGAGTTTCCCTGCCTATAGCAGGGGGTTGGAACTGGATGGTCTTAAAGGTCCCTTCCAACCCAAACAATTCTATGATTCTGTGATCATTTCTGGTGGTATTATGAGATTGGCAGTCTGCTGGGATGTCTGATCAGTGTACTTACACTTGCTAATTTCCCTTTTTAGCTTCAATTATCTTCTGAAAAGAGTCCAGGTATCTGGTAGGTGAGGTCAAGGTAAGCCCTGTGACCCATGATTGCCCTACAGCAGGGTTGGGGCTGAATGGATGGAAGGATTGCTTGGACTCTAGAATGAGGCACTGCGTTTGCACAGTGGACATAACTTTAAGCATTAGGGTTTCACCTTGGGATTTCCTGGACACAAATTACTCTTTTGGGAAGATCTCTGCTAAAATCTTTAAGATTTTAATCGTTGCAAGATGCGAGTAGTTCTGCAAGGGCTGACTGTAGCTGCCCGGCTGCTGCTTTTCCTTTTTCATGTGGTTCCTTTTGAGATGTGGGCTGCTTGATGAAGGGTAGGAGGCACGCTGGTGCCTACCCTAAGCTGCCTTCTCTTGTTCCAGGCAGGCATATTTTGCAACTATAATTTCTTCCCTTTCTGTTTTTCTAGGGTTTCTGGTATGCACTTAAAGCCATATCTCAAGTTACAGAGGAAAGAGCGATCAGAAATAAGCCAGGACTCCCTCAGAGGCCCACCTATGACCCATCAGAGGTTACCCCGAGAAGACAAATACACCAACAACTGCACCAAACTGAGCGTTTTCCCCAAACCCCCCCTTGTGACTCCATCTCGAAAGCTTCTGGGAATTATTTATCCAAATACTATGTGCAATATGAACGGGAAAGGTCCGGCAGATGGTCTGAGTGCCAGGGAGAAGAAAAACGTCCTGTCGGCAACGATCCATCAGGGAGAAGAAGGGGAAGGGCCTCTGGATGTGTGGGCTGTGGTGAAGCCTGGCAATACGAAGGAGAAGATCGCTTTCTTCGCAGCCCAGCAGTGCAGCGGCAACAACCGGCTGGGCTCCATGAAGCTCAAAAGCACGTGGGATATCGATGGGAGAACAGTGAAACGACGGAAAAAAACGGTAGATCTGAAAAAAGCCAAGATCCAATTGGAAAGAATGAGGGAGGCGAATGCCAGGTGCTCCCAGCCAGAGCCTTTTGCGTGCGGCATCGAGCATTGCTCGGTGCATTATGTGAATGACAGTGGTGAGGGGGTGTTCCCGGGCAGGTCCCTCTCCGTGATAGAGATGGTTGCGTTTCTGGAGCAGCGAGCAAGTGCTTTATTGGTAGACTGTGCTAAAACTTGCACATCCGCCTCCACCGCGAGGCTGAGCGCTCCGTCTAAAGGTGCTCTTCCCAGCTCTGACCCTTTCTCTGCCCCCGGGCCGTGTGAGGTACATGAGAGGGGAAGCTGTGGCAGCAGTGAGCAGCAACAGAGCGAGCCGGTGCGCGTCCTGGACATGGTGGCCAAGCTGGAGTCGGAGTGTCTGCGGCGGCAGAGCGAGCGGGACGGCGGCAGCCTCTCACGCAACAACAGCTTCCGCAGGAACGTGGGACGGGTGCTCCTGGCCAGCAGCACGCAGCCTGGTGCTGAGCCTGGCAGAGCCTCTGTAGGCAGCGTGGGCCGGGGTGAAGAGCTGGGGGCAGCGGGGGCTGGCTGCGGAGCGAGGTGTGGGGATGCCGGGCTGTGGGATGGCGCTGCCTCTGCTCCGCAGCCGTTCCCTCCTGGGTTGGAGGGGAATGCGGGTTCAGGACTTGCTCACGCTGTGTTGGCCATTGCGGCTGGAAGGAGCGATGCTGAAAGGCGGGTTGAGCCTCCCAGAGCTCTGCCAGCCCTGTGTCAGGCTGTGGCTGGGGTGCCGGCGGATTCCTTGCCGAGCAAGAGCACGAATGTTGATTGTATGTTGAAAGAAGCTGTGATCCTCTCGAAGCAGAGCCTGCATCCTGCTAGGAAGGAGCCCTTGTGCATCAGTATATCGGTCACCAAGACTGAGAAGGGGTGCAGGAAAGAGAAGCTCCCTCCCTCCAGTTCGAGTGAAGACCCCGTCCCAGGGAGGTTGTTTTTTCTCCAGGCCGAGCAGAACGCCACTCATGCACCACAGCCACTGCAGGAGTGTACCCAAGAGAAGCCAGGAGAAGGAGTGCAGAACGAGGACGAGGATGCTTTGGAATCTGACAAATCGTGTGTCAGGACCAATATCTCTCCTGAGCCATCAGCCCTTTCTGTTCCCCCTCCAGAAGGTGCTTTGCAAGTACTCGATGCTTCCTGCTTGAAACGGCAGGTCTCGCATGACTTTTTGGAGACCAGATTTAAAATCCAGCAGCTTCTGGAACCTCAGCAGTATATGGCTTTCCTGCCTCACCACATCATAGTGAAGATCTTCGGCTTGCTCCCTACGAGGAGCCTGGTGGCCCTAAAATGTACTTGCTACTACTTCAAGTTCATCATTGAGTACTACAACATCAGGCCAGCAGACTCACGTTGGGTCCGCGACCCCCGCTACCGAGAAGACCCCTGCAAGCAATGCAAGAAGAAGTATGTGAAGGGGGACGTGTCGCTGTGCCGCTGGCACCCCAAACCTTACTGCCAAGCTTTACCCTACGGGCCTGGCTACTGGATGTGCTGTCACAGGTCCCAGAAGGGCATCCCGGGCTGTAAGTTGGGTCTCCATGACAATCATTGGGTTCCTGCCTGCCACAGCTTTAACCGTGCTCTCCATAAGAAGACCAGAGGAGCGGGAGCCGAAGGAGAAGAGGAATATTAGTGCACATACACTTTCCTGTGAGATGGTTTGGGGTAGGAGGAGATTCTCATGCCTTGTGCTGTTTACAGTGTATATAATTGTCGTGTTTTTCACAGGGCTATGAAACTGCACATACTTCAACACAAGAGCCTTTACCTTTTAGAATAAAGAAAGCTTTTAGTCCATCTATGTAAATAACACTATAAAAACTAATTGTACATACAGAGTCTACAGCTGGCTGAACAACGTAATCACTACAATGCAGCTATGATAGTGTTGCGGCTATAGGTGTGTGTGTTTTTACGTGTCTTGTTTCAAAATCTGTATATCCTGTATAATATATGAATGTTTCTGAGAAGAAACTCTAAATAGGTAAAGGCCAACCTGGTTAAAGAATCTTCAAACAACTTAACTGGACAACCTTAAAACTAGACTAGAACAGAACATGACAGTAGTGTTGGCAGTGGAGAAAAAAAAGAGAGGAGTATTATTGTATAGTCAGAATATAAAAAAGTTCATGCCTACCTTATCCATGTTGTCTGGTTGGTTTTTTTTTTTGGTTTTTTTTTTTTTACTTAAATAAAACGTGCATTCTAGATCTGCCTTAGCTGCCTTGGTCTTGTGAAAAATGCTGTAAAACAGGAGGTGAGAACTTGGTGTTGCGGTGGAGCTCAGACTTGCAGTATAATCCTATGAAACAAAAACCCTTCCTTGTAGTGCTCTGCTCCAGCCTCTGCCTGCTTCTTTCTGCTGTGTGTCAGTGCTCACAGGGCTGTCAGAAGCACAAATGAATGGTGGTGATTCCTTGAACTCTTCATAGGAGCTGAGGATGGCATCTGTTGGAGCATTTGCTTTCTTGCAGTGCAGTCCCTGTGCCTTAGAGGGCTGAAATCTGGGGCAGAACCCACAGCAGTGGCTGTTCTGCTCTGCAGAGAGGAGCCCAGGGAAGAGCAGCAGTGGTGCCTTAGCACTGATCCCTCACCCTGGCCTAGGACAAGGCAGCACTGCAGCCAGACCAGCAGCATCTCAGAGCTGACAGGGCCATCCCTGGGCCAGCAGTGGCCATGAATGGATGGGCAGGAGGCTTTGTGGAAGGTTAGGTTTATATTTATGATGAATTATTGTGCAAGAAAATGTAGAGCCCTTTGTAAGGGCTGAGCTTTGTAAGGGATGCTGCTGCTGTTCTTGCTGTAGCTACGCCTGGGTGCTGCTCTGCCCTCTGCAGTGCCAGCGAGGAGGAAGGTGGTCAGAAAGCTGCATGGAGGGGCAGCTGATGGAGGAGAAAGGGCATCCCCTGGGCAATTGTGACTTGGATTCATAATGGGGTACAGGGCCAGGATGAGCAGGACTGCCCTGTGGTTGAAATCTTGCCAGAGCTGTTGGGATCAAAGGCCACACCTTAATTTCAATTAAGGAAGAGGGAGAAGAAAGGGCTTTCCTGCCCCCCGCCCAGAACTCTGGAAAAGTGGAGATAAATGTGTGGCGCTGATGGTGGTGAGGAAAGTCACTGCTGGGCTGAAATAGAAGCAGCAGAGGAAAATATTTTGTAACTAGATAAGGAACCAGTGAGGTCATTTTGCTTAGAACAAGCTGTGAGATTCTGGTCACCTTCACTGACCGAGGCCACTTTGAGGGTGGAGAAAAATGAGAAGACAACAACAAGCTCCAAGCTTGCATGTAAACTGATGAATCCCATGCATAGAGAGAGGTGTGCCTCAATGGAGATGCCACTGTTTAAAGCAAATGTATTCTTTTTTTTTTTTTACCTTACTGCTGCATATTTTACTGTTGCACTGTAGCAGGGCTGGTGCCTGTGATGCTTCGAAGGCTGGAAATTGTGTAACCCCCAGAGCATTTCAAACCACGAAGAAGTGACAATTCTACCACTTAAAAAAAAAAAAAAATTACTGTTAAAGATTTATTGCAGTAATACAATAAAACTTAGAAAAGAAAAAAAAAATCGTATTTAATTCCATCTCATTGGGAAGTCACAATGGCCAAACCCAGCTGCAGGGATCAGCCTGAGCTGGAACTGCTGCCCACATCCCACACCAACTGTCCTGCAAACTCAGCTGGCTGCCTACAGAAACCTCCAATGAGCAGACAGTGCTTCCTTCCCTCCCTCACCCCCAAACAACTTGGAAAATCAATCCCACCGATTGCACACGAGGTTCGGACACGTGTAACTCTCCTTTAGCTACCCATGTGCAAAAGACTTTAAAAACAACACTATTCTGTTACAAAATTGTTCCTTGAAAGGACGAGTCTCGATGCATTAACACCCTCACAGCACCACCGTGCACTCTGTGGCATGGTTGCAAAGAAATTATTTGGCAAACACCATGGTCAAAATACGAATATGGCTTCAGAAGGTGGTGTGGTGGTGGCTTTTTCACCCCAGAATCCATAAATGGCAGCATCCAAACAGAACCGTGGCCTGGCCATTAGGGCTCTACGTAACACAAAGGCAGCAATGAGAGAGATTGAAATGTGTAGTAAAAATATAGGGAAGCAAGATGGGCTGTGTGATGCTAAAAGCCCAGCGTAGGGCATTGGTGGGTGCTGGCTGCTCAGACACCAACAGCTTCTAAGGGGTAAGTAGGCAGTGGGGCCAAGACTGCAGTAGTCAAGGGGGTCTACGCTGTTTGTTTAACTGCTTCCCAGAATGAACCTAACTTGGGTTTAGGACCAAGGATGTCTTCGTAGAACAGTGTACAGGCTGTTAGTGCAGAGTTAAGGGTCTTTGGTTCAAAGAAACCCCAAACAGATTCCCATCCCAAAGACCAAGAGCTGCTGTGTAAGACAGAGCTGGGCTGTACTACTGGGCACAGAGCTCAGCAGGTCTGGTGCTGCCTTTCTGCTGTGCACAAGGATGCTGCCTCTATGTGCCTCACCTCTGTGTGCATCACTTGCATACCCAGCTGCTTCAACAGGGAAGACTGAAATCTTCCATCTGAGAGGGATGGGAGGATGATTTCACACAAATGCCCATGAAGAAGTACAACATCCCAGCTGCATGAAATGTAAACCATACAATGGAAGCCTCACTGAGCAAAACCATCTTTAAGCGATGCATCCCACGAGGCACAGGAAGTGGAGGAGCACTTGTTAGCAAACCCCTGTCAGCATCACACCTCCTGTGGTTCTGTGAGCACGCCAGCTGCCCTGGGAGCAGCACTGCAGTGAGATGAAATCAGCTCCTTGACAATCAGCAAACAAGAACAGAAAGAAAAACCCACCAGCAACACAAAATGGAACAGGGTTTAAAATGCGCGTAGCATGTAGAACATGGGGCTTCATGAAGCTAGTTTGAAATGAGGTTTTTCTAGTATTAAAAGTGGCAACATGGTGTAACTGATGAGTCTTATTGCAACAACGGTGTCAGATGTGGGTCTAGCCAAGAAGAACATCCAGTGTTTCTTTGGTGTGTGGTATCAAGAGTAAAGAGCATCGTGCCTGGAGAGCACAACATGGTACTTGGAGACTGCCTACTGGTGGAAGCAGCATGGAGCAAGCCAGTTTCCTACAGCAAAACTGGGTCAAGATCCACAACCAAACCTGAAATAAGAGCGACCTGCTGTGTGAATTCTTGTCCATGCTGATTCTCCATATTAAAAAAATATGGCAACAGAGATTAGAAAACATGTTAAAAATGCATAATTGTCATGTCCTGAATGAAAAAAGAAAATCTAGAAATACGCATTTTTCCATTATGCAAGACAGATTTAAAACACGAACATAAACCCTGTAAGGAGTTAAGAACACGTGAATTGCATTTGCACCACCGTCCAGACTGAATACTGAGCAGCCTTCCCTCTGTACTCGTTTGGATCCAAACACTACAGAATCTGTTTCTTCTTTAGGAAACAGAGCTGGAGGCCGCTGGGTCCTCCTTTGATATCCAACAATGCAGACAGAACCAAGACACAAAGTGCCATCACAGAATCCGTCAGAATTACGTAGCTAGCTAATTTACAAAACGGTACCATCACAGTCATCTTGGGTCAATAAAAAGGTTCTTCTGGTTTACAAAATTGAAGTCTGACCTTTTCTTTGTTCCAGGCACTACTTAACTGAATATGTAAGGTTGACTACAGCATTGCTGGGGAGGGATTCCTTCCAAAATCCTGTGATCCTTTTCCCATGCTCGTTAGCGATGTCCGGTGTACGCCTTAAACCATGAGGTCACTGAGGCAGCAGCAGAGGAGATCATCCCACCAGCACTGCTGCTGGCAATGGGCTGTGACACCTGCGTGCTCTGGCTCTGCAGCATCTCCACCTGCTGGGAAGGGATATCACAGAACCTGGGGCTCGGCAGATTCTCCCAGTCTGTCCCCAGATCCGTCTCTTCGTCGCTGACGTGCTCATCTCCGCTTTCATCTGTCTCACCAGTGGCACTGGGATCCACAAACTCCATGGAGTCTTCCAGGTCAGCACTGATTTCAAAAGGGCCAGACCTGTGGACACGGACACAGCACTGTCAGTGCTTCCAGCACAGCGCAGAAGAGGGGCTGTCCTAGGTGTGCCTCTGCAGCCTGCTCTGTCACGTGCATATGGAACAGACATTAGAAAACCTCTGCCTTTATCAGCTGGCACAGAGAGGCTCCCTGGCTACAGAGATAACTGCACTGTGACAATGGTAAAAGGAGAACAGTTGGCCAAGGAAGCGATAGTGAGTTCCAGTCCGCAGAGCAGGAACGGCGGAAGAGCTGTTTGGCTTTGGCAGTGTATAGTGAAACACACACACAGCTATTGATAATAACTCACAGCTCCACTGGTGGAAATCTCAGCTTGATGTGGAACAGCTTTGATTTTTAACGCTAGCTTTGGCCAGGCCAAGAATGCTGCAGGGAAGGCTGTAGGTCAGCAAGGGGAAGGGTGTACTTTATAGCCTGCAGAGATGGTTGGCACGACTCCCTAACAGAGACTGCCCAGAGCAGCACTTCACCTCAAGCAAGAGTTGCAGTTCTTTTTGACACGAGAGCGATAAAACTGTTCTCCCAAATGGGTTGTGGAGTCTCCATCACTGGAGATACTCAACGCCCCCTGGAAGCTGGTCCTCAGTAACTTGTTTTAGTTCATTCTGCTCTGATCGGGGCTTCTGATAAGATCTCCAGATGTCCCGACCAAACTCAGCTCTGCTGGGAGTGACTCTGAGTTCCCTGCTGCCACTGCCTGGTAGTAGAAGCAACTGCACTCTGCCCAGTCCCACAGCCCTGCACCAGAGTATGGTGAGTCAAAATGTAAAGGGGGGCTATATAAAGAAAAGGACAGACTCTCTAGCAGAGTCTGTTGTGATAGGATGAAGGAAAATGGTTTCAAACTAAAAGAAGGGAGATTTAGATGAGATATAAAGAAAAACGTTTTTATAATAAAGGTGGAGAGCCCATAGAGGTGCTGGTGCCCCATCCCTGCAGACACCCAAGGTCAGGGCTCTGAGCACCCAATGGAGCTGTGGGTGTCTCTGTTCACTGCAGGGAGGTTGGACCCGATGGCCCTGAAGGGTCCCTTCCAACTCAGAGGATTTCTATGATAATTCAGAGCACCTGCAGAGTTTCAGAGGCCTTTGAGACACCATCAGACGAAGCGAGGTGCTCACAAAAGCAGGAGAAAGCTGGTTCCCCACAAGCAGAGTCTCTGTTAAACAAATCTAATTCCAAAGCACAATGCTCTTTCGGGTTCTCAGTGAAGCAGGAGCAAGAATTTAGCACAATTAATGATGGTTCTCCAACCTTACATAGAGAAGCAGCCTGAAGCAGCCATTTAGCATGGGAAATGCTAACCTGAACAATTAAAGCTTGGTAAAATTATACGTATATGAAAATATTAGCTTATAAAGGAGGTCATCAGGCAACTAGAGGCCTAGAAGTCTGAAGGAAAATGACGACAGCTAGTTGCTGCAGACCTTGCAGACAGCCAAGAAACTGGAGGTAAACTCTTTCATCATACTGAAAGGAATGGGAGCACTGCCCTCTGGCACAGCATTTTGCTTAACAAGGCAACACAAGAAGGGAGTCATCAGGTTTAAGGCCAGGAGGGACCATGAGATCATGTGCTGTGACCTCCTCTATAACAAAGGCCACTGCATTCCATATCCCCCATCGAATCCTGCCTGATGAACGCATCCATTCCAGAAACTCATCCCACTTTGACAGAAAGACACAAGGAAATAAAGAACTTCTCCGCTCCATTCTTGCTGGAAGTTAATCTCTGTGTTAAAAGCATGCACCTCATTTCAACCCAGCTCTGACTCTTTGCTTCCAGTGATGCTTGTGGTCTTCTCTGCAGGACCACAAAGCCATGCATAGCCTCTATTTCTTGTAAGTTGCACGGAGAAATGAGACCCATCTCTCTGCTCTGCCTTTCTACTTCCCATCAGGGAGACCCATCAGATTTAGCTTTTTGTCCACTGTGGCTCTCACATCCCTTTCAGGATCATTCCCAGGACACAGCTCTTCACTTTCTGGGTGTTTCTTGCCCTCTCCCTGTTTGCAGACAAGCAGCAGCAAGCACATCAGTTTTTCCAAAGTGAGCTAAGTTGGCTCCCTATGTATCTGGGCTGACTAAGTAGGGATATACCCAAAGAACATAAATCTGAAGACACGGTGACACTGCAGGTTCTAAAGTAAGACTAGATCTGTACACCAGAACAGAGTGGAAAAGTGGATGTCAGAGCATTGGTGCATTTGAGGGTGAATAAAGCAGTAGAATACACAAATATTTGCAGACTGCCTCAGGCACAAGTGACTGGATTATCCTAAGAGGAAATGAATATTAACTTTCTTATACTTAAATTGAAGAAAATAAATAACAGTAAGAATAATAAAACTGGTGTGTGCAGTCTACAGGAACTGATGTTCTTTTAATCACATACTAAGTTAACAGAAAAATTGTCTGTTAATATACACATAAATTAATATTATTTGAGTGTGCACTTTGGTCTAGGGTGCTCACTGGTTGGAATTATTTTGGGAAAGCTTTACATAGTATTTCCTTTAAGGTTGATACTGCTGGATGCTCTTATATACACGTTTGCAAGATGTGAGCAGGGTCATGCACATTGAGATTGATGGGATGTGTGCTGCTGTCCTCTGGGGGGAAGCAGTTCCTGCTTTGGGGCACAAGAGAAACCAGTCCATACAGTCAGTCATAAAGCCCCCAGCTGAGCCTGCCACATGCAGAACCACAACACAGAGATGTGTCTGAAATCTAATGCCCTGCTCAGAATCTCCTCCCTCTGTCCTCCCCATGTAACCATCTTAACTTCTGATGTACTGAGGATTTATGCATAGGTGCAGCAGAAAAGAAGAACTTCCCTCATGAGCCACAATGCAAATACATAATAGCTCCCATGGGGATTCAGGCACAGGTGTGTTGACATGCTGCTTTTCTTACCTGCCCAAGTTCTCAGTGTCTGGGCTGACCAGGTACATGAGGTTCCTGAGTGTATGCAGTGGGTGCAACAGATCTAAATTGACATGCTACCATGGAGAAGGTGAGAAAAAGAGACAATCAGTTAATGGAGGAAACCTGCAGTTGGTATGTTAAAAGCATTCAAAGGATCCATGTGTGCATTCCCCTTACCTGAGAGAAGCAGAGGTGAAGGATATTAGCATTCAGCTTCTTCACTGCTCTTGTGAACCTGTGCCTGCTGAGATTCTCCCCGCAGAACTCACTGTTGAAGGACCACATACACATATATGCACACAACAGAATGCTGTGACAATACACCTACTACAGACATCAGCATTCTCTCTGCTAGCATTTCATCAGCAAACAAGGCTTGCTCAAACCTCAGTGGTTCCACCAGGACAGGTGATGCGAACCATATGAAAACTCAAAGTTCCAACACAGCCAAATCATTTTGGTTCTCCTTTGAAATCCTGCCTCACTTCCCTGTTCCCAACCTTTTTGTCCTGTGAAGACTGAACAACCAAATAGTAGCATAAGAAAACCTGCAGAGATCCTACACAACCATTGTGTCCTCACTTTGGCAATCACTGCTCCAGTGGGCACGGTGATGATGGGCTGACAGCTGGACTAGATGACCTTAGTGGTATTTTTCCAACCTTAACGATTCTATGATTCTAATCCCGTGATTTTTTAAACACTGGAAGAATCTCAGCAGTACAGTTGAAACCCCTGGAAGACAAACCGAGCTCACAGCTTCCTCTGAATTACTTTTGTACAGATCCCATCTGCTCTGTGTAGGCACTAAAAACCTAAGGGTGCCTTTCATCACAACTGGGTTTACACACTCCCAGATATCTGGCAGCCAGCTACGTTCCCCACCGGTGTTTTAATCCAGAAAGAATTACACTGCTGTCATACCATATTATAAGGTCTCATTTTACATCTCTTAATGCAGTGGAGCTGTTCAGGATGACTAAGGGCTGCTGAATTGAGCTGGTATTTTGTAAAGCACAGTAGGGTCTGATAAAATGAAAAGTGCTATTCACACACTGTCATATTTCACTCCAATTTGAGGATGCTGACTAAGGTGGTTAGAAGGTTGTCCTTCTGAATGGCTGGTCTGTGCTCTCAGGAGGTAGAAAAGGAGGGAGGGAGGATTAACTGTGGTCTAAATTCTTACTGGACCTCCCTATGAAATCAAATGGCACAAAAAAATCTGTGAGCCATCAGCCATTACCATAAAGGCCGTTCCAAGCAATGACTTCATTCACAAAACCAAACTGAATTAAGGTTATTCAGCACTGGTAACTGATTCATCTTCTTAGAGGCTTGCATTTACTTGCCTGTTGCAGAGCTTCTTGGGAAGATTTACATCAAGTATGAGAGACAAAGTGTTAACGAGCTGGGTTGCATAGCACAATGCAGCACTGATGGTATGAGCAGGGTTATTATGCTCCATATCTAAAAAAAATAAAAGCAGCATGAAAGTCTCATTTTAAATGAAGCCTCAGTGGGTGTGTTAATGCATTTCTGAAGTCTCCTCTGGAAATGTCATTTGTCAGTACTGAGAGCTGCCTGAATCCAGCAATCATTTACAGTGAGATCTGTCAGAAACTGGTACAAAACAGTAATTCTTGGAATTCCTGTTAAATCGATAAGCATGCAAACCATGTCAAAACTGTGAATAATTAACTTTATCTCTCTATTACTTTGCACCATGTCCCAATGAGCATTTCCTGCAAAAGAGGCTTGCAGTGGACTACTCCCTATACTGGTGTTTCTTTACTTCTGACTCAGGTTTGCCCAGGAAAGAACCAAAGGGCCAGACTACTTATCCCCAGTACCTTCTGCTGGCATTCAAGGCTGCAAGCTGTATGACTTCTGGAGCATCCCAGCTGCCTCACCAGCTCCTTACCTGGTCCTTGTGTAGTCTTCTTCTCCTCAACCCAGTTGTAATATGCTGAGTAGTCTCCGTTATTAGGAAGGGTTATCCAAGGCCCCGTGATGCTGATGCTGGTGTCCCCATTGTGGTCATCACACACCCACCTCCCAGAGAGATACGTGGTTCTCCTGGCTTCTGCAAGCTTGCTCACAGTGCTGGAGGTCATAGCATTGTCGCTCTCAGAAGACACATCTGCAGGATCCCTGTAGCACCCGAGGAAGAACAGAGCTTTTTTAAGTTAGTTTAAAAAATGCAGTCAGCAGGCATGCTTGGCAGGCACACAACCAGACTTCAGAGAGCAGAACACTTGTAGAAACAGCCCTGCTAAACTCCTTCATCACCACACTACTCCGTTCTGGGATTTTTTTTTTATGATCTATTTTAAGAGTGGACACACAGCTCACATCTCTCAGTGGCTCTCAGATTCTTACGCTCTGGTCTTCAGGTCCAATGCCTTTGGAAACACCTCCTCCCTCCCCACAGATGCTCAAGGAGCCACAGCATTTAGCTCAGGCTCACACGACTCACTTCTGGGTGTTCAAACCCAGGAAAAGGAAGCCCAAAAGGACAAGCCTTCTGTACCTCACGCTTGTTTTTACTTCTTCAATGGGAAATATGACTGATGTCAGCTCCAGGATATGCGTCCGGCGCAGGTTTGCCAGGTGTTCATGCTGGGTTTTCAAGTCGTAGGTTTTTTTCTCGACCAAGTCCCCCAGTTTGCGGTTGTGCCTCTGGATCTTCTCCTTCTTCTCCTGATGCCTCTGAGCCCTGCGATAATGCTTCTGGTTCTCCTCTTTAATTCTCAGAAGCCCCTCTGCATCTGTGAAGGCAGCAGCAGATGTTAGCTAGGAAAAGGAGCTGCGAGGTACTTGCAGTAAGCCTGAGAAAAGCTTTATTAATATTTATAGCAAACGAGATCTACAGCGGCTTAAAACAGAAAACTCTGCCTCACTATTAACGCTCTCCAGCTGCTAAGTGGTACAACTTTTTAATCTTTTCTAAAGAGCTCCAAAGAGACTGACATTAGGATTAATCTCTCCCTATCTTTTACCCAGCTATTTTTGGATTTGGAGCAGAAAAGCCAAGATTTCTCAGCTTAATTAAGCTTCTACGGTAATCATCGTGACAGAAATTGCTTGACTCTACATGCTTGCATGGTATTGGCCAAACAAGCATGATCTGCTCGCAGCCAAAATCAAGAGCAGATAGCAATCTCCATTCACAATTTCTGGCACTGTTGCTCCTATTAACGTATGTTATTTGGGCTTTGTGCTCACGTATGTCCTCGTAAAGCTCCTGGATCCCAGCGGCACAATCTTCTCGTTACCACAAAATGGTAAATGTGCTTATGCTTATGAAATGCTGCGACTGCCCAAATTTACTCCATGCAGCAGGCACACAAAGAGCTGGAAAAAAATTCCTGCAAGAGCATCTGCTGATTCTTCTATAAAATAATTCACTGCAGCAATGCTTCCACAAACATATGGTGCTGCAGAGGGTGACTTCACTGCCTCCGTCTTTCAAAAGCAGAGGAAAATGTCTCCAAATACATATGGAGAAATGTTAATGTAGCCTAGTTTGAGTAAGAGCCCCCTTCTAGTCGCTCAGTGTCAGTTTTTATGGCTGAAAGGAAGCAGCATTAGTCATGCTCTCTTACAGCACACAGCAGAGCACTCACTTTCCTGTAATCAAGAAATGGGATAACTGCCCCTTGCACAGAAGGCAGGCAGTAAGCCCTGACATTGTTCCTCTGATATATTTTGATTGCAAGGCACAGAGGAGACCAGAGGTACAATAAGAATGTTTTGTGGCTTCTGCTGCTCAAAGAAGGAACTACATTATATACTACTGAAAAGACAATCAAGAAAAACACCCAAGCAGTTCTATCTGCCTCAGTGTACACAGACTGCTAGCTTTCCCAGATAGAGGAACACAGCAATTGAAGGTTAAGTCTGAATAATGGGACACAAGATCAGTTCCTATCCTTATGTCAGCACTCACCCTGACTTCTACCTGTGGAGCTGGAGCAACCCCTGCTCTGGGAATGGAGGAGCAGGAGTGCTGGCAGCCCTCTGAGTGCATCTGCCCCCACAGACATGGGCCAACATCCTCTGAGTGTCACAACTTATTTCTGCTCATCTTTCTGATACGTAGTGCTCCATGATGTGTTTGGGAAGAAGGGCAATCTCATACATGAGAGATTAAAACCCAAATAAAAGATGGTGAGAACAGCTTCGCCACCATGCAGGTATGAACAAATAAAAAAAGAGAGAAGGAGAAAATGTCCATTTGTTCAGTTTTCACATACATGCTGTGTCATAGCTGAGAGAAGAGAATTAACCTATTTACATTTTGCAATATGGTCCTTAAGCAATATGGTGCTTAAGAAGGACCGGGTTGAGCTCCTGCTCTGTTGGCTGCTCACTGAAAGAGTTCCTTTTGGGTCTACTGAGCTGATGGCAGGCTGGCTGGGTAAGAGTTAGGTCAGTTCATGGATTAATCTGATGAAGTTTACTGTGAATCAGGTAAATAATAAAAGCTGCAGATTAAGAACATGTAAGCATTTATTTCTGAGAATAACAGAAAGGTGGAGGAGCTTTACTCTCTAACCCTAACTGATCCCTGAAAACTGCTCTTCTTCATTTAAATTTTTTTTTTTTTTTTTTTTAAGAAGCAAAGCAAAGCAAACACCATTTTTTGTAGCACTCCGTATTTTATTCCTGATGTTTCCTCCTGGACTTTCTCCAGTTGATTCATATCTTTCTTCAATTGCTCAAATTGGGCTCCAGGCTCCCACTGAGGCAGCACTGATGCCGAGAACAGAAGGATAATTGCTTCCTTCTTAAATACAAAGCCTACCTTGGTATAACTCAGAACGAGGTCTGAACCTTTCTGGAACAGCACTTCGTTGTTATTTTTTTTATTTCATTTGCAATTCCCCAGATTCTGTCCTGTCAAACCTTACCACCTTTCCCTGCTTCCATAACCCCATAGGGTTATAGTTTCTCATTCTTAAACAACGTGCTCTTAACTTTCTTCATTTCAGATGATTCAATCAACTTATCTGCATGATTTTGAATTTGATCCCATTCTGCACAGAGTTCATATTGTTATGCACCTTGGCTTCCTCCATTCCACTTCCTATGCTACTGAGAAAGTCATTATGGAAAACAGTGAAGAGAACTGGGCCAGGAACTGTTCCCTTTGGAGCCCTGCCCGTCTCACCTCCTTGGTTTGACAAGTATCACCACTCTCTGAATGCAGTCTTTCTGTAGTCTGGATGTAATCACATTTATTTGCTTGCTCGTGAGATAGTCTGGGGCAGAGCCCAAAGACAAGATATGTTTGCATCTTCTGATTCCTCCACCTCAGCACCTGACCTCAGAGAAGGGGTCAACTCAGCCTGACCTATTAATTATAAGCAGGCATTGCTTTTTGCTATTTTCTATGTCCCTACAATGATTACAAGAAGATTACAAGAGGGTGACAGTGTCATCAGTTTAAGGTTCCCCTTCCATCCATCCTTTGACAACAGATGCTGTTTGCACACTACTCCCTCAGACATCTTCTCCATCTCAAATGTTCTCAAGTGCTCCACTGCCCGTTCCTCAAGTTCCCTGCAGTGAATCTGATAAGGCTGATGAGGCACTGACATAACCAAAACAATATTTAACTGCCTGATTTCTTTCCCTGCCCTGCAGTCCTCTCACTATGTAAAATTTAATCTGGTTCAACACCTGATCACATTTTCCTTGTTAGAAGAAGCAAGAAGGTGCTGAATTCACTTTCCTCTTAACTAACAGACTCACCTATCCTTCATCTTTCTTATTATACGTTTCTTACTGTGACTATCCATCCTCCCTACTACATGATAACCATCCTGCACCTCACTGTTTTGGATGTTATTAATGCTAGCCTGTGCCATTCTTTAAAACTATTCTCAGTTACATGACCTTGCTACCACTTCTCGTATGGCTCCTCTTGAACCTCAAGCCATTACAGCACCCCTGATTCAGTCAGTGTGTTTTGGCATATGCTTCCCATCTTACCTTTGCATGGAGGTTGTAAGGAGTGCTGCACATTCCCTCCTGAAAAATGAGGCTACAAATCTCTCGTGTGTAAAATATTTAATGAGTTTCACAACTGAAGCTGCTGAATGTCAGCAATTTGCCAGCTTGTGCCATATTTCAATGACAGTATCACTCAAGCAGGAATTTGGGATTTCTAGACAGCTGTGGGTTAAAATTCACCGGTTACATGAAATCCATAACAGCTGCAGAGCTGTTTGCTCCTCTTTATCAAGAGGAAGTGATCAGGAACGCTGCACTGAATAAAACCATCTCAAGGGAGAAAGCCATATTCATAGGCTGCTAAGCATTTACTTTTTAAGCTGTTGCAAAATGATCTCCATCCAGCTGCATAATGCCTACTGTTTGCTAATTAACATCCAAGCATAAAAAGGCTGAAATCCACTCACTGATCTGCCTTGGAAATTTGCTATTTTTAAAAACTAGCCCTCAAATTCAAACCAATTGATTTTTTACTCCTTGAGACACAGTTTTACACATTAGAAAAGCACACAGGCACTACTCACGTCTTGTCATTTCATCATTCTCCTTGCAAATGGTCTGCTTCAGCTGTTCGATCCTCATCTTGCAAGACATTATTTTCCATCTCTGAAAAAGAACATTCAGCAGCCATAGGGCACAAACCATTTCAAATACATTGACTAATGATTAACAACGAAGCGAGCAGCTTTGGTGCAAAAGGAGCAGGACGTTCTGGATTGGCTCAGACCAATACATAAACATTTCACATAGTGTTTCTGGCATAGAAGAAAGCCACGAACAAATAGAACGCTTAGTTTAAAGTCAATCAGCATAATAAGTTATTGAAGGAATAATATCTAGTAAGAAATGAAACATATTGATGCCCTGCAGAGCTGACTTTGCTTTTGCTTACAACAGGCTTTTTAGGAAAGCAACGCAATGCACTCGAGGTAAAATGTAACTTTAAAGAATGTGATCCAGCAATTCAGAGAGCTTAAAAACTATGGGAAGCTTTGAATAACTCACCAGCTGATCAGTTATCTCTTTGCCTTCCATGGCCTTCAAAACACTGAGGGGAAAAACATGAATGAAAGTTATTTGACTATCTGGACTACATCTGTCTCCCAGCAACAGTGCATCAGAGAGATCTTTTAAAGGAATTTACTTTCACTTAATGACTGCAACTTACTGTTTTTGGAATTCTCTCTGTTTGGTCTTAAGATGCATCAGCCTTTCTTTCTTGTCTGAAAACCTGGAAGAGATAAAATGCTATTATTCCAATTTTTGCACAACAGTATTGTAAGTTGCCTGAAATAATAAAAAGCCTGAAGCTTGCAGGTGTCTCTAAACCTGAATTCTTTCTCAACCCTTAGAAATAAATAGCTAAATGTATGGAACTCCTGCAGAATTCTATAGCATCCATCTCCCAGGAATAGCAACAGAACCTCTTACTGTACTCAGTAATGGTGCCATGTAGGAGAGTACTCATTTAAGGCTTCTAAATGACATCCAATTCCTTCATGTACCAGCAGCAGTAATAAGCTGCACTGTTTTCTACTCATTTCTACCAAGCATTTGTAGGCATCACAAATCCATGACCCAAGTGCCTGCTTGAGGTGTAGGTCTGAGCCATGGGAACTGAAAATAACCAATCAGGAGGAAGTATTTTTTTTTTAGGGTTCCTGCATTTCCTTCCCCTGGATATGTAACAGCTGTGTTCTGCTTGCCTCCATAGGTTCCAACCATCACAGTTGGAAAAGATCTCCAAGATCCCCACCCCAGCCCACCCCCACCATGCCCAGTGCCCACATCCCTCAGATCCACATCTCCACACTTCTTGAACACCCTAATAAAAAGTTCAATGTTTCACACATATCCCACCCAGTCCTCTATTTCAGGGACATCTCAGCTTTATTTAGAAAGAATTACACAGTGAGTGAGCTTGGCTGGGTGGCAGCTGGGACCTCTCCCTGCTCAGCCCTGTGGATTGGATTTCACATTAAACTCAAAATGCTTCATTCCTCTTCTCAAAGTGCCCAAATCTGAAAGCATGGACCCCAACCATGGCTTTACAATGTATGCAATCACATTAAAAACATTCTAACTGCTGCCTTCACAGTCTGCAGGCTAGAAGTATCCCTTCTCCTTCCAAACCAACACCAACCCAATGGCAGGTGCTGATACAGGGGCCTGAGGTCATGCGTGCACCCAAGGAATGCAGTGCAACCAGAGCCTGGTGGCTCAGCATCCATCACTCCATCTTTCCCTGTCTCCTTCTACATATTCTCACCATATAAGTTGCACCAGTGTGTGTTTACACACAGCAGCACACACACCACCAGCACCTCCAACCTCGAGCTAAAGGCAGAAATAGCTCAGCCCAGAAACACAGCACTCAGCACCGGGAGAGCTGAGGAAATTTGGCAGTTCTTGTTTTCCTATGGGCACTGAGTCTGACTCAACACCATTACCTGAATCACGTCCATCACGTTAGCAAAAAGGTGAGCGATCTAGCAAGAATTTGGGACTAAAGGAAGTTCTTTGTGAAGAGGAAAGATGGAAGTATTTGTGGAGGGCTGCAAAGATTCCAGCTCTCCATGCACTTCAGCAGCTGCGTCAAGCAGCTCCTGCAAACTCCTTTAGAGGGTTCTCATAGAATCACAGAATGGTCTGGGTTGCAAAGGCCCACACTGCTCATCCAGTTCCAACCCCCTGCTATGTGCAGTTCGCCAACCAGCAGACCAGGCTGCCCAGAGCCACATCCAGCCTGGCCTTGAGTGCCTGCAGGGATGGGGCATCCACAGCCTCCTTGGGCAACCTGTTCCAGTGCCTCACCACCTTCTGGCTGAAAAACTTCCTCCTAAAGCAAACATTTCAATACATTTCCTTTATATTGCCCCATTTTTAATTGCATTGCATGGTGTATCCCCAAGTCCAACCCCAGCCCACCCCACCATGCCCACGTCCCTAAGTGCCACATCTCCACAGTTCTGGAACACCTCCAGGCATGGTGACCATTCCCTGGGCAGATGTGGCAGTCCTGTACCAATTTTCTCAAAAAAAACCCTTTTGTTGCAAAAAGCCACTGCTTTTTGCCTGGAGAAATCAGGCAGGCAGCCTCAGACACCACAGTTGTGTTGTCTTTGTTTTTTGTTACCTCCAGAAATACAAAGCAAAGCAAGTCCACATGCTTGGAATATATACTCTGAGGACTTCTGCCTATGGCAGAGGGAATAAGCTCCTGTGAGGAAAGAGTCTCCAGGCTGAAATTAGCATTGAGATGCTGGTGTAATGTACAGCACGTTGCTAATGAAAAGAAGAATGTCAGCAATTATTTTACTGCAGGACTTCCGGACTGCTCAGCCTTAATTATAGTCCTATTTCAATAATTAATCTTAACAGCTCCTCCATTGCTCCTCCTCACAGACACAGGGTGTGATTTTCAACCGTACTGCAGCTTATAGCACATAGAATAGTTCAATGAAAAGCAGATCCTTGCTGTTAGAATATTAAAATATTTATCTTCATCTGGGAAAAAATACACCAGAAAATCCTAAGAGTGCCACATCACTGGATACGACAGAAAACTCTTTAACTCTCAGAAGAGAGAGGCAACAACACTTCCCTCCAGCCTGGAGGACTCCAGTGTGGAAGGCATGGATGTCCCTGTACATCCCAAAGCAGTTTCTGACAGCACTCCCAGCAGCTTCCCCAGAACAACCCTTCTTGTGACCCCATCCAGGTCATAACTCCCGGCTAAAATTAACCCATGTCCCACTTGAAGGCATAAAGTGACCAAACACACAACGCTGCCAGCAAACACAGCCTGTGCTCAGCCCGTGCCTGCAGCTGTCCCTGCTGGGCTGCAAAGGTCGCTCCTGCCCCGTGCTCACTGCCTAAAGAATGCATGGAAACCCCTCACTGCAATGCAGGCTGACTGCTGAGATGAGGGCTGGTTCTCCCTCTCTGCTCCTACTTTAGGAGGAAGTTTTTCACCCAGAGGATGATGAGGCACTGGAACAGGTTGCCCAAGGAGGCTGTGGATGCCCCATCCCTGCAGGCATTCAAGGCCAAACTGGATGTGGCTCTGGGCAGCCTGGTCTGCTGGTTGGTGACCCTGCACATAGCAGGGGTTGGAACTGGATGAACACTGTGCTCCTTTGCAACCCAGGCCATTCTGTGATTCCTTTACTTCACTATCAGTCATTCAAACATTGATTATCCAGCACAGATAACAGATTTCAAGCACGGTTTTAAACCATCAGCAATTCTAAAGCTTTGAAAGAACAAGAAATGCAAGCTTTAGGAAGCACTGTCCCCACAGCAAACTTTCCTACCGCAATCAACTGGCCTTATGCTATTTATGTGATGTTATTCCCTTTGTTTGTGCATACAAAGCTGCTACGCAGGGCTGTGTTTCTGTTAGGAAAGCTCTGAGCAGCAAGATACCAAATCCAGGGTCTACTGGACAGAAGACTGCACTCAGACCAAGGGGGTAAAAAAATGGGAAAAAAACCCACAGGAAATTATTCCTGCAAATAAGAAAAGCAGCTTAAACATACAGAGCTAAACAGGATGGTTAAAGCACCTTAGGAAGATACAGTGAGAGCAGTCAGGGAGAAGAAGCTGACCCTGCCTCATATAAGAAACAGGAGGAAGATGAGAAGGTTTTTCTTTAAGATGAGCTGTTGTTGACTCTGGTACTTTGGCCAGAACTACACCTATACAGATTTGTTTTTCCAGTGGGTTAAGGAACTCCTTGTGCCTTGGTTAATGCAGGATGATTGAGGATTTGCTACTTCAGTGAAGCCTGAAGGTTAGCCAAAATCATTAGTCAGCACAAGGGCAACAAAAACTACTTGTTTTATATTCCAAATTCCCAAAACAAGATTTCTGTGGAAACTGCAGGTAACTGTGAGCAGCCTCACACAGACACACAGTTTTCCATCAACTTTAGAGAGAGCAGTTTGTGGTTCCAGGTCACACAAAAACAAAGAAACCCCAACGAGTTGCAGTTCACAGTCGGAACGTCGCAGGCTGACACAGAATCACAGAATGGCCAGGGTTGGAAGGGACCTCAAGGATCATCAATCTCCAACCCCCCTGCCATACGCAGGGCCACCAACCTCCTCATTTAATGCTACACCAGACACCTTTATGCCCACTCCCATTGGCTGTAATGCAACTTAGCCAGGCTTACGGGTCTGCTCGTGTGGATACAGGTGGAAGCATGAATCGATTTTCTGCATTTGGGTTAAGCTTAAGAATCTCATGTTTGTTTAAATGCGAGACTGACACGTCATTGTCCAATCGTACAGACTACCAGCAAACAGCTAAAGTTTATGGCATTAAACGCCTGCTGGCATAAAGAGCTGCTTGGGTCAGCTGCAGAGCCAAGGGAGGCGGCAAGGCACCGCCGTTCGGACACTTGGCAGACAGATGTGAAGGGCGTTGGGCGTGAGGACCTTCCACACAACGCCCCGCTTACCGCCCTTCCCGAAATAGCACAAGAAATCACTCGCAGCAGCTGCTAACGATACAAACCACCGCCGGTAAACAGGGCCCCATCCACCGGGCACCTCCAGGGCCTGGGCACCCCATGGCCGCCCCCCCCCCACAGCGCAGAACGCCGCCCCCCCCCCCCCCCTCCCACACCGCTACCTTTCGGAGTCGCGGCCGTCGAAGAAGACGAAGTCCCCGCCCTGCACGCACTTGGCGCAGGTGAGGCGGCGGCGTGTGGTGTTACAAAGCGGGCAGCGCTCCACCGCCACGTACAACCCCTCGGCGTCTTCTTCGGCGCCTCGCAGAACCCCCGCTCCGGTCCCGATGCCGCCGCCCCCGCCCTGCCCGCCGGGCTGCGGCCGGCTGCCGCTGGGAGACGCCATGATGGGCTCGGCGCGCCGCCGGTCACGTGGGACTTTGTTGTCGGCCCGGGGCATTGTGGGGAGCGGCGCTGAGGCGGCGGGGCGGGATGAGGCGCGCCGTGCGCCTCACGGGGAGCGGGAGTTCGCGCGTCAGCGCTTGGCGCCGTCCCGCCACAAACCAACGGCACGGTTAAACAGATAACAGGATCACAAAATGATGGAGTTGGAGTTAAAAGGGACCTTCATAAGCCGTCCGGTCCCGCTCCCTGCGGTGCACAGGGACACCTACAGCTCCATCAGCGCTCACAGCCCAGCCCCTGGTGTCTGCAGGGACATCGCCGGGCACCCTGTGCCTCACCGCCCTCGTTCTTAACAGCTTTCCCCTCATACCCAGCCTAAATATCCCCTCTTTCAGTCTGAAACAGTCTCAAACTGGAAGAGAACCGCGATTCTTGTTTTTAAGACAAGTTGCCATAGCAAACGAGGTTATCAGCAGCTCTGAGGTGACACAGAGCCCATTTCTTATCTCCAAGCTCTTTCCACACTCCTTAAAAGAGCATTGATTTTACTGGTGAAATTATGCAGCTAGCTCTTAATGAAAAAGCAGTTTTCTTTCCCGAAGAAGGCTCATCTCAGATAAGCCATTTCCAAACACCAATAAGAACAGGTTGTTGCTTTTCACTTGCAAGGATTCTGGTAAATCAAGCTTATCAGCTTTAACAGCCACAGTGCAAATAGAAGCTCAGCCCAAAGCAGTGGAAAGTCTGCAGTGTTGGAAAACAAAGAGAAAAGTCAGTCTCTGTTTAGAATAGATTTGAGTGTGGAAACCCACAGTTTGCTTGTGACAAAGAAGCTGATAAGGCAGTTAAGACCAGTTTATCATAAGGAAGTGCATGAAGTTTTCCAAACCTTTTGTTCCAGAGGAGCAAAGTTATAAAAGTATTTGAGTGACATTGCAGACACACTAAAGTCACTGCCTCGCCAAATCAGAAATAAGCTGGTGGCAGCAAGACATGACCATTACTCTGTCCTGCATTAAATCATTGCCAACATTGTGTGTTTCTACTGAGGACAGGCAGCTTTTAGCTTAGGTTGCGCTTAAATCATCAAATAGCAACCTCTAGCGGTTCAGGGAGCTTCCTGACAGATCTGTCCCGTCTTCACCAGGAAACAAGGGGAGGAGATGAAGCCCAGCAGCACCAAAACTCTATTCTGGGACAAGAAAAAGCACTCTCGCTTCCAGAGAATCATAGCAGAGACCAGAACAGTAAAGGGATCATCTCTACACTCTTCCTACTCACATCACCTGAGAGAGACACCTCTAGCAAAGGAGGCCTTGACTTGAAGAAAGTAGAAGAGCCCCACAGCTTCAGCTGCAAAATCACCAAATGCTTTCATGCATTGCCATTGTCTAATTAAATAACTCAGATAATTAAGCCCTGAGCATCCAGGACTTTCTGTGTTTTCCTCAAGTCTACTTTAAAGGCTGTTCCTAATCAGTCATCATCTGATCAGGCTTCAATAACACAAACATATACCAATTTTGTTAAAACCCATGCCATGATCAATTAATCAATTTGCTTAGCTAGCCTCTTTCTGGATGTGTTCCAGCACTGCCCTTGAATACCTTCTCTTCTAAGGGAACACCAGCACCATTACACAACAGTTGATCCAACTTGTGTGATCAGAGGGAGCCCGGTGTCCTGTGCAGTCACTGCCTTCAAAACATTGAAATAAAGTCATGCTGGATTTTGTAAGCTATAGTATGGAAAAAAATAGTATTTTGTATTTTCATGTTCACTCATTCAAATTCAGCATTGCAGGAGCTGGGTTGCCAGTTGATTTGAAGTGTAGTGTCGATTCACCTGTTCAACAGGGAAAAGACAGAAGGTTTCAACTACAAACTAAATGCAACCTTATTATGCATTCTGTTAGAAGTACATTGGTTTGGTAAGTTTCTCTGCCTGATGAAAGTTGTCAGAACTAAAGTAAATTATGGACAGCAAATCTGCAAGCAAAAAACATTTCACAAACTGTAGGAAGGGATCAGCATTTATAGCACTCACAATAACATCACTTTCATCATCCACATCTATACATTTGGGTCCAGGAATAGCCTTGGCTTCTCTTCCATGCCTAGCAATACAAACCCATATGTTATTCCTATCTACTTTACAGGCTGTGTTATGATGCTTTCTTGAAACCTCTAAGAATGGGATAGATGTTCTCAAATGCCTCATAGATTTCAGAACGCTCTTTTGCTCCTGTAAAGACATTTGAGGGGGGAAAAAAAAAGGTAAAAATCAGAGTATTGAGAATAACTGAATGCACTTCAAACCTAATGATGAGATTGCAAACCATGGAGAAACAAGAGTTTAAAAGCAAATTTAAGCTAACATTTGATAAAACTGGAGGAAGAACTTCCACCCTGTTACTTCTGCTACCTCACAAACAACAATTTCTAGCTTGCTCTAAGACTGGACTAGTTCTAGTTTTCCTGAAAGTGTCATACATTAGCTTTGAAGTAACACAGCTGTGAAGAATCATGGTTTTACCTGCTTAACCATAACAGCTCTGCCTCTTGATAAGAAGCAAGACGGAAAAAGAAATGGAGAGATTTAACCCCATAGTGCAAATTCACACACAGTTACAGAGCTTCACTCCTCCAATTCCAAGATGTTTTTGTGTTCTTTACACTTTGTAAGGTCACGAGTTTGCCAAACCCTCTGGAACAGGCTCTTACTTCTCCACCCTTTCCTCTAATAATCCTAAGTATACATTGTCAGTGAAGTGTTTTAAGAAGTTTACTTCCTGTCCAATTCTAAATTGCTGCTTGTAATCCTCAAATTTAAGCAACTGTGAGTAGTACTGGCACTTCAGGCTCCTGGTGGGATTCCTTGCACTGACAAGGCATTATGCTTTGAATAAAGATACTCAAGTTTAATGACATGGAAATTTGAGACACTACACAAAGCAATATGAGGTTCTAGTGCAACAATACCAATATTGTTATCTGCAGAAAACACAGATAAGCAGCAGTAGGCATGAAAAAGACCACTAAGTGGCTTTACTGCAGCAAGATATTACATCAGTATGCTCAATTTAAACACTTCCTCAGAAGACGCTGTAGCTCTCAGTTACAGATAATAAGAGAGGAGACCACTTACCAGTTAGAACAACTTTTCCAGACACAAAGATAAGCAACACTATCCTTGGTTTGACCATCCTATAAATGAGGCCAGGAAACAGTTCAGGTTCATAGCTGTTTGAAAGCAAGCAGGTAAAATTAGTGAAATGCAAGTGCTGTTTCAGTGTTGTATGATGAAATGCTCTATGACTATACTAGCAGGAAGCTAAACCCACAGCTACCCAGAAAAAGACAGGTGAAATAGATCTAGATATCTTGAACAGAAACGTATTAAATCCCAGCAGAGCTGGTAGGAGCACCCTGTGCTTACTGTTACAGACTTTTGAATCCCATTTTCCACAGGTTCAAATAGCTTAAGACTTGCCTCAATTAAACCTGAATTATTTAATCAAGTTTATTTTTATTTTTTCCTTTTGTACATGGTCTGCAGTCTCCCACTAAGCTTTAGCATTTGACTTGGCAATAATAGGAGACAAAATGTTGGGCATTAGCTGCTCTTAGAGCATCCTACAAGGAGAAGGCAACAAACAGCACAGGGAAGAAAGTTCAAGATGGGTCCATCACTACTGTACTGCTGTAGGCTTTACTGCCAGCTACTGTGTTACTGCTGTAATTAAGCCAAGAGTCATTTTGCCCTGAGCCCACTTAGAACTGGAGTTAGTGCAGAAAACATGCCTTGCTATCCATACTGTAACACATGGCATCTACAGCCACTTCTCGCCTGCTGAACCAGTTCTGGTGAGCCAGAGATGCGCTTGATATTCAGTACTCAGTTAATTATTATGTTAAATTGCCAGGCTCCAGAATTTGAGCTCTTTACAGCTTACAAAGAATGTTCCAAGCTCCATGGAGCCATAACCCACTCTCCCACGTACCTGCTGAACTGCTGGTGGGTGAGAACCAGCCCTTCCAGTCGGATGGGGAACCTCACATCACAGCTCCCCACCATGTTCTGGATCTTGAAGTCCAAAAACTTGGCAGGGAACCCCAGCTTCTGCACCACACGTGCATATTTCCTTGCTGCGAGCCGTGATTGCTCTTCACTGAGGGAAGAGCAGAAAGGGGAAGCAGCCTTGAGGGCTTTTGTCTGCTCTGAAGCTGGAATTCAGTGTAGAGCCACCACCATGCTACTCTGCTGCTGCTCAAAATAGAAGCTCTTATCCCCAGAACCACTTCAGTGAGCTATAAAGAATGGCGTGCTTTGGTGCTCATTTTCCTATGGTTTATATGAGCACATTACATCACCAAGGATTTCTACTGTTTAAGTAATGCCTTGCAGCATTATCTCATCCCTTCAATTAGGGCTGATCCAGGAGGGAGACCGCAGATATCAGTGTGGTCATCCAGCTAGGTGGGGGTTGGAGGTTTCCTGAGCCATGAGTCAATGCATCATCTCATTGGCAGTCTTAAAGAAGAATAATTTATTGAGGCAGCTGCTGAATTTGAGAGCAGGACCTTCAGAGTACAGAAATCATCTTTGCTTTTCTCCAGCCCCCATTTTCACTACAGGCGTATGCATTGTCTAGTGAGCTGACACCAAAGAAACTTGACAGACACAAGTTACATCTCAACTCACTTTAAAAAGTCAGTGAGAAATGCAAATAACCCCTTAACAACTCCTTAGCATCTTAGCAGCTTTTCTGCTAATATCTACTCAGCTCAATCTATATTCAGGGGCAGAAGCACGCAGTTCAGTGATTATAGAACTCCTGTCACAAAGACGACATTTTCAAGACTAGTGCTTCATTTTTCTTGCAGTCAACAGCAAACCCTTTGCTAGGTAATTTAAACAAGGCTGAGTTGAGGAAGTACAGGTACAGCTGAAAGACTTTTGAGGAAGCAAAAGAAAAAAAAACCTTTTTGCTCCTGTGCAGACCATTTTTCCTGAGCTGAAGATAAGGGCCGTTGTTCGTGGTTCCCTGATCCT